GCGCTCTGTAGGGGGTGCGCCCTGCCCAGCGACGCGCGCCCGCTGCTGATGTGCTGCGGTACTGTACCACACTATATGACACTACACCACACCACACTACACTACTGCCGCGCCTACACCGCGCTCTGTAGGGGGTGCGCCCTGCCCAGCGACGCGCGCCCGCTGCTGATGTGCTGCGGTACTGTACCACACTATATGACACTACACCACACCACACTACACTACTGCCGCGCCTACACCGCGCTCTGTAGGGGGTGCGCCCTGCCCAGCGACGCGCGCCCGCTGCTGATGTGCTGCGGTACTGTACCACACTATATGACACTACACCACACCACACTACACTACTGCCGCGCCTAGCACCGCGCTCTGTAGGGGGTGCGCCCTGCCCAGCGACGCGCGCCCGCTGCTGATGTGCTGCGGTACTGTACCACACTATATGACACTACACCACACCACACTACACTACTGCCGCGCCTACACCGCGCTCTGTAGGGGGTGCGCCCTGCCCAGCGACGCGCGCCCGCTGCTGATGTGCTGCGGTACTGTACCACACTATATGACACTACACCACACCACACTACACTACTGCCGCGCCTACACCGCGCTCTGTAGGGGGTGCGCCCTGCCCAGCGACGCGCGCCCGCTGCTGATGTGCTGCGGTACTGTACCACACTATATGACACTACACCACACCACACTACACTACTGCCGCGCCTGGCCCGCGCTCTGTAGGGGGTGCGCCCTGCCCAGCGACGCGCGCCCGCTGCTGATGTGCTGCGGTACTGTACCACACTATATGACACTACACCACACCACACTACACTACTGCCGCGCCTACACCGCGCTCTGTAGGGGGTGCGCCCTGCCCAGCGACGCGCGCCCGCTGCTGATGTGCTGCGGTACTGTACCACACTATATGACACTACACCACACCACACTACACTACTGCCGCGCCTACACCGCGCTCTGTAGGGGGTGCGCCCTGCCCAGCGACGCGCGCCCGCTGCTGATGTGCTGCGGTACTGTACCACACTATATGACACTACACCACACCACACTACACTACTGCCGCGCCTGCCCGCGCTCTGTAGGGGGTGCGCCCTGCCCAGCGACGCGCGCCCGCTGCTGATGTGCTGCGGTACTGTACCACACTATATGACACTACACCACACCACACTACACTACTGCCGCGCCTACACCGCGCTCTGTAGGGGGTGCGCCCTGCCCAGCGACGCGCGCCCGCTGCTGATGTGCTGCGGTACTGTACCACACTATATGACACTACACCACACCACACTACACTACTGCCGCGCCTACACCGCGCTCTGTAGGGGGTGCGCCCTGCCCAGCGACGCGCGCCCGCTGCTGATGTGCTGCGGTACTGTACCACACTATATGACACTACACCACACCACACTACACTACTGCCGCGCCTACACCGCGCTCTGTAGGGGGTGCGCCCTGCCCAGCGACGCGCGCCCGCTGCTGATGTGCTGCGGTACTGTACCACACTATATGACACTACACCACACCACACTACACTACTGCCGCGCCTAGCACCGCGCTCTGTAGGGGGTGCGCCCTGCCCAGCGACGCGCGCCCGCTGCTGATGTGCTGCGGTACTGTACCACACTATATGACACTACACCACACCACACTACACTACTGCCGCGCCTACACCGCGCTCTGTAGGGGGTGCGCCCTGCCCAGCGACGCGCGCCCGCTGCTGATGTGCTGCGGTACTGTACCACACTATATGACACTACACCACACCACACTACACTACTGCCGCGCCTACACCGCGCTCTGTAGGGGGTGCGCCCTGCCCAGCGACGCGCGCCCGCTGCTGATGTGCTGCGGTACTGTACCACACTATATGACACTACACCACACCACACTACACTACTGCCGCGCCTACACCGCGCTCTGTAGGGGGTGCGCCCTGCCCAGCGACGCGCGCCCGCTGCTGATGTGCTGCGGTACTGTACCACACTATATGACACTACACCACACCACACTACACTACTGCCGCGCCTAGCACCGCGCTCTGTAGGGGGTGCGCCCTGCCCAGCGACGCGCGCCCGCTGCTGATGTGCTGCGGTACTGTACCACACTATATGACACTACACCACACCACACTACACTACTGCCGCGCCTACACCGCGCTCTGTAGGGGGTGCGCCCTGCCCAGCGACGCGCGCCCGCTGCTGATGTGCTGCGGTACTGTACCACACTATATGACACTACACCACACCACACTACACTACTGCCGCGCCTACACCGCGCTCTGTAGGGGGTGCGCCCTGCCCAGCGACGCGCGCCCGCTGCTGATGTGCTGCGGTACTGTACCACACTATATGACACTACACCACACCACACTACACTACTGCCGCGCCTACACCGCGCTCTGTAGGGGGTGCGCCCTGCCCAGCGACGCGCGCCCGCTGCTGATGTGCTGCGGTACTGTACCACACTATATGACACTACACCACACCACACTACACTACTGCCGCGCCTGGCCCGCGCTCTCTGTAGGGGGTGCGCCCTGCCCAGCGACGCGCGCCCGCTGCTGATGTGCTGCGGTACTGTACCACACTATATGACACTACACCACACACACTACACTACTGCCGCGCCTACACCGCGCTCTGTAGGGGGTGCGCCCTGCCCAGCGACGCGCGCCCGCTGCTGATGTGCTGCGGTACTGTACCACACTATATGACACTACACCACACACCACACTACACTACTGCCGCGCCTACACCGCGCTCTGTAGGGGGTGCGCCCTGCCCAGCGACGCGCGCCCGCTGCTGATGTGCTGCGGTACTGTACCACACTATATGACACTACACCACACCACACTACACTACTGCCGCGCCTACACCGCGCTCTGTAGGGGGTGCGCCCTGCCCAGCGACGCGCGCCCGCTGCTGATGTGCTGCGGTACTGTACCACACTATATGACACTACACCACACCACACTACACTACTGCCGCGCCTACACCGCGCTCTGTAGGGGGTGCGCCCTGCCCAGCGACGCGCGCCCGCTGCTGATGTGCTGCGGTACTGTACCACACTATATGACACTACACCACACCACACTACACTACTGCCGCGCCTGCACCGCGCTCTGTAGGGGGTGCGCCCTGCCCAGCGACGCGCGCCCGCTGCTGATGTGCTGCGGTACTGTACCACACTATATGACACTACACCACACCACACTACACTACTGCCGCGCCTACACCGCGCTCTGTAGGGGGTGCGCCCTGCCCAGCGACGCGCGCCCGCTGCTGATGTGCTGCGGTACTGTACCACACTATATGACACTACACCACACCACACTACACTACTGCCGCGCCTACACCGCGCTCTGTAGGGGGTGCGCCCTGCCCAGCGACGCGCGCCCGCTGCTGATGTGCTGCGGTACTGTACCACACTATATGACACTACACCACACCACACTACACTACTGCCGCGCCTACACCGCGCTCTGTAGGGGGTGCGCCCTGCCCAGCGACGCGCGCCCGCTGCTGATGTGCTGCGGTACTGTACCACACTATATGACACTACACCACACCACACTACACTACTGCCGCGCCTACACCGCGCTCTGTAGGGGGTGCGCCCTGCCCAGCGACGCGCGCCCGCTGCTGATGTGCTGCGGTACTGTACCACACTATATGACACTACACCACACCACACTACACTACTGCCGCGCCTGGCACCGCGCTCTGTAGGGGGTGCGCCCTGCCCAGCGACGCGCGCCCGCTGCTGATGTGCTGCGGTACTGTACCACACTATATGACACTACACCACACCACACTACACTACTGCCGCGCCTACACCGCGCTCTGTAGGGGGTGCGCCCCTGCCCAGCGACGCGCGCCCGCTGCTGATGTGCTGCGGTACTGTACCACACTATATGACACTACACCACACCACACTACACTACTGCCGCGCCTACACCGCGCTCTGTAGGGGGTGCGCCCTGCCCAGCGACGCGCGCCCGCTGCTGATGTGCTGCGGTACAGTACCGCACTATATGACACTACACCAACACCACACTACACTACTGCCGCGCCTGGCCCGCGCTCTGTAGGGGGTGCGCCCTGCCCAGCGACGCGCGCCCGCTGCTGATGTGCTGCGGTACTGTACCACACTATATGACACTACACCACACCACACTACACTACTGCCGCGCCTACACCGCGCTCTGTAGGGGGTGCGCCCTGCCCAGCGACGCGCGCCCGCTGCTGATGTGCTGCGGTACTGTACCACACTATATGACACTACACCACACCACACTACACTACTGCCGCGCCTACACCGCGCTCTGTAGGGGGTGCGCCCTGCCCAGCGACGCGCGCCCGCTGCTGATGTGCTGCGGTACTGTACCACACTATATGACACTACACCACACCACACTACACTACTGCCGCGCCTGGCCCGCGCTCTGTAGGGGGTGCGCCCTGCCCAGCGACGCGCGCCCGCTGCTGATGTGCTGCGGTACTGTACCACACTATATGACACTACACCACACCACACTACACTACTGCCGCGCCTACACCGAATCAACAATCAAACTACAACAATCGCGCTACATTGGTGTCTGAAGTAAAATTACGCACATTTGTCTATTCTGCGTAGTTTTCAAACAGTCGTGTTTGAAAATTCTCGCTCCTCTACAATTGACGTAGAATCGTGTAAATTTGAACAAATCTGTTAACTACATCTGTATAAGTTGACGTAGAACTCCGCTCGGACGTTGTTTGATGCATTTCTGCTAGGCGATAAGGAGTCTACTTGCTTATTTGTTTCTTAGGTTTTCACGCACATCACTCATTAAATAAAACTAGTTTTTACGGGTTAATGCACGAAACTTTATTTATTAAAAATAAAATAAATAAAGTTTCGTGCATTAACCCGTAAAAACTAGTTTTATTTAGTCTACTTGCTTTTAAACGTCAATATTTGACAGTTCGTATTATTACCACACACAGGTGGTTGTGGCGGCAGTCCGTCGAGCCGCAAGCCGTCGTTGGCTGCAGGCTGGACGCATACGGCCAACAAGCTGCAGCGGCATGCTAGCGCCCGCCTGACACGGGAGGTTGGTTCTCTTTTCTAGGAACACAATATTTAAAAGCAAAGATCGATACTGCATCAAAGATATTAAATACCTTAGATACACCACGTGCGCTTAAAATGTGTCCCAATCAAGAAGTGCTCGAACTTCACTCAAGCACTTCTTGGTTCACAGTCACGCGCGTACCGTTGAAAAGCCAAAATGCCGCAGAGCTTCTAGAAAAAATGCAAAAAAAATACTTATAGTACGTAAAGTGTGGTGTTTTCGATAGGTATCTATGTAATCAATGTTTGTTTATTTAACGCGTTTGAAGCAAATTTTGTTATAATACTTACTATAAAATGATTTAATAGAAAATATTTGTGATATTCAAATACATGATCGGTTATATAGCCGTCTCTACTCCTCGCGGTCCGTACCTGCTATATTGCTAACAACGCATCCGGAATTCCGCGTAGAGTTAAAGAAATAAGGTGACGAATGGGTTTTAATTAAGACCTTACACAGTATGCATTAAAGGTGACTTTCAATGTTTAAATAATGCTTTATATTGTTTTTGCCAACGCGATCATCTTACGGAGCTCCGTGGATCGTCCAACGTACCTTTTGGACAGATTATGGCCATGATTTTGTGGCCGTGATGATCAAAATCGACTAGGGTATTCAATATTGTTGTACTGCATACATAAGTAAAGTACGGTCGCCGAGCAGAGATAATTCCATACAATGACCCCACGCTCCCTATCCTTATCGCTCGCACGCAATAGGGTATTTGACAAGTTTTAAAAAACGATCTCACGTTATTAACTAATGTTTATAGAGTCCATAAAAAGAATAAAGATATTCATCATTATGTTGTGTATTTCGGTAAAAAAAAAAACAAATCAAAAACTCTATTTTCAAGTTGCCGCGAAGAACGTATCTCTGGACAATATGGCGTCTCACTGGTGTGTGACGTCACACGACTGTCATTAACACGTCAAACGATATCACTTTGACCGGAAGTATACTAGCGTGTGTCGTCATTTTAGTCTTGGCCTTGTCAAGAGAAAAGTTTTCGCCTAATGAAAATTAAATTTTTAACTTATTTTTTTTACTGAAATACACAACAAAATTAAAAATACCCAAACACATTACTCTCGATAAATAACGTGAGATCGTTTTCTAAAACTTGTCAAATACCCTATTATCTACATAAATATTACATTTTACCGCCCGGTTATACCGATTAATGCCAGCCCATTTATCTGCGTAGTTACCCTCACAAAATTCTTCGTTTGATGTGATTAGAACTTAGAAGACGGGGAGGTGACGGACGCGGAGCTGGGCGTGGTGCGATGCTTAGAGCTAGGAGGCTCCAGAAGATTGCAGCTGGCCATAGACTGGGACCCCACCGCGCTGCATCTGAGATACCAAACCACTAGGGAGAAGGTGAGTGTTTAGCTCTTTGTTTAGGTAATCTTCTCGAGCAACGATTTGTCTATGACAAGGAAGCCTGCGCAGTAGCAATTTTACATACAAAAACGCCTCCTGCACAAGTTTATTTGTCTGTGATTACGCATACGAAGTTTGGTGCTTTCTATAACTCTGATTCTGGACAGTTTCAATGGTTTACGTTTTTACTTTGAACTTCATTGTTGGTAAGTAGAGATTTGCCAACAATGTCACGGTTACCCTGGTCTACTAACTAAGGTCAGAGAATGAGAAAATGAGACAACAGGATACCATGCAAATTAAAAATTTAATAAAAAACTCGACCCGGAGAAAATAAAAATTATACAGGTGGGGTTGAGCACTTAATCCACACAAGCTCTTTAGCTTCGTCGGTTCAGGTACTCTCCTGTGTAACGCCGGGTAGTTGGTGATCCCGGGAGTTGCGTTATGGATACCGCTGGCGACTGGAGTCGAATAGTAGCTGAGCCCGGCAGAGAGTACTCTCGTGTGGTGAAAGTAGGGGCTGTGAGGTGATATCGGCCAAGTTGGTATCCCGAGCGTTGAACCCTGGAACGCGCCATTAGGATACCATTACAAGCGGTCCAGTACTATTTTGCGAACATCCACGGGCACTACGTCGTAAAAGAAAGTACCTAATTGTAGTAGTAGTGCCGTGGAATCATCACAATCAGAAACGGAGATTACAATTTCGACAAATAAATGGATTGATAATGAAATTTAAGCATATTTAAAATTATTGAAATATGAGGGTGGAATTAAACGACAATGAAATCTTTTATGTACCAAAAGTATGCAAAATCAATCTAAATGTGATTTATATTAATATGCATAATGCATGTTAAACACAAACATTGGGTTTGAAAATGAATTCTTACATTAATAACTACCTAAACTGCCTGCGACATTAAAATTACCACTTACTCAGTTTCGGGGCGGTCGACACTCACTTCACAATTATTTATGGTATTATTTATTTGAGGAACGCTTAGTGACGATCACGAAAAATATTATATTGGTTACGAGTTTTAAAGATAATTAAATTTTCCCGTATTAGCAACCATAAAATTCTATGTGACGTACGTTCGCTCAAATTAGATCGAGAAAAAAAATGAATTGGCGGGCGGCCGGTCATGCAGTTTTATCTTAGCAAGAACAAAAGATCCTGCTTGGAGCGCTAAAATGTTGCATCGCGCGAGTTTACGTATACAAATCCGCTTGATGAATTTATGTTGCATTTTAGTGTCAGTGAATAGTTTTATTATTGTAAATAGCCAATTTGTTTATTAATATTATTATGATTTGTAAATAATTTAGTTATAATAAAATTGTGTTTTATTTTTATAAGTAGTTTTTAGTGTAGAATTAAATCTAATAGTGTTATTATTTAGTTTTAGGCATTGTAAATATTAAATTTAAGAGTATTTTAGGGTAATAATATGAATTATGTAACGCATAACGTTACAACAATTAAGTTGATGATATGGTTTAAGAAAACCGAAAAGCAACTCTAAAAAAAAACATACACCACGACGAATTTTCATAACGTTGTCAGTATCTATAAATATGCTTTCAAGGTTACAGTGAAAGTAAATGACTGCAATTATATCGGAGAATATAGTCCATACGACTTGATTGCTTACGTATATACTATAATATCATTGCTACTTATTTTTTAAAATAATAAGATTATTTTTTTCAAACCAGTTAATTAAAATGATGTTTAAATCTACTAAATAAACTAAATACTTATACCAAACTAAAAATAAAACTATATTATGTAAAAAAATCGACCCCAAATCGCTGCGCTCGCAGGGTAGGGTGCCCAAGAGGCTGGCGGCATTTCCCCGTTGGATCCCCTGAGGCGTCGATGAGGCGTGTGGAAATCTCCTTAAATAGATGACGGGCTTCCGCACACCAAGGCCTTATAGACCAGGGTCGATAATTTTTGAGACCAAAAAAAATTATAGTAGGATGAAACCCATTAGAAAAGGTAGAGAATATAACAAAAATGACAGGAAATAGTAGATTGTTAACCGAGGGTGGAAAGAATCAATTCCCGAGGTATTTAGACGCCCGAGCGCAGCGAGGGTGGCTATAGTCCGAGTAGGAATTGATTCTTTTACCCGAGTTAAACACTGTACTTTTCATTTCGAATATGAGGAAAATAAAACTAGTTGTTTAACAAAAATATTTATTCATAAATAGTTATATATACCATAAAATTAGAAGTAGCTATTTAAAATACAAATTTGGCTGTTTTGGATATCTGTAAAAGTAGGACACTCTGTTATTTCATCAAACGATGGATTCCATGGCGGATACTCCCTGGAAGTTGTCTGCTGAGGCGAATTGTAGGAGCCTGTAGTTTGCTAGACAGTCCATTAAAATATGTAAGAAATACACTTTCGGAAAACGATTTTATATTCTTCTCTGCTCACCACTTTATAAAATCATTGTATGTATTTATATATCTCTTTTTTAACATTTCTGGCAAAATATTCTCTATAACACAATTTGCCTCGTCTTTAATTGAATCCGGTGTCAACATTTCTGAATCGCTTGAACTCATTTTTAATATTCAAAGTTGGATTGCTCTGTTTTACTTAAAAGATTATTTTTTTATTCCATCACATAACAGATGCATAACATTTTAGTATCCCGCCAATTTATGTCGACTTTTTAAATTTAAATATGGAACAGCGTAATTGTTGCGGCTTATTCCGCTCAACGAAGTTTGTGCTAAGTTCACACTGGCTGTTTAGAAACTCACATGGCATCATATTTTTTCTTTACATAAAACTCTTCACACCTGACAGTAGTTCTATTTTTAAAGTTCATTCCGGCCCTTAGGCGGGAAGTAATTTGTATGAGTTTTTCCATCTCTAGGGAGGGAAGCAGCATTTTCCACCCAACAAACAGATCAAAACAACACCACTTTCCGAGAATGAGAAATGAAAAATAAATTACGGGCGATCTGAGGTCGGGAAGGGGGAGGGGGTGAGTTTTTAAGGGTAAAAAATGGTTAATCCTATGAAAAAAAGTTAAATAGCAAAGTTGTAGGTAATAAAAAGATCTACAACTTTTGTATCGACACTTTTTTCACATAACCTCAAAATTTATGTGAAAAATGCGAATAACCGAGTTTTTGGTTTTTGATTTTTATTTTTTGCAAAAAATATTATTTTTTTCACGAAATTTGGTGAAAACTTACCTTTGTATGTCCCAAACATACAGTAATTTTTTTGATTAAAAATATTCATTTTTTCATCTTATTTTGACTTAATATCGAAAAAGCACCCTTATTTTCAATCGAAAATTCTCACGTCAAAATATCTGCTTTTTTAAAAAAGTTGGGGTGTTTTTTGTTTCTTGAAATCTCTACTTTCTGATGGTATAAAAAAAATATACACTACTATGGTAAATGTTCTCAGAAACTGCAAATTAATAATGAAAAAAACTCCAATCCGAAAAATTGATTTGAATCATTATGTATAATTTTGAACTATTTATTAAAATTTACACTTTAATTACTCGAAAAACGTAAGATTTCATGTTATATTGATAAACAGAAAAATTACAAATCCATAAAATATGCAAAAATAGTTGTTGTAAGTAGTTATTAAAAATAGGATTTTCGGAATCGAGTTTTTTTCATTATTAATTTGCATTTTCTGAGAAAATTTATCATAGTAGTGTATATTTTTTTTTATACCATCAGAAAGTAGAGATTTCAACAAACAAAAAACCCCAACTTTTTTAAAAAAGCAGATATTTTGACGTGAGAATTTTCGATTGAAAATTAGGGTGCTTTTTGGATATTAAGTCAAAATAAGCTGAAAAAATGAATATTTTAAATCAAAAAAACAAACAAACTGTATGTTTGGGACATACAAAGGTAAGTTTTCACCAAATTTCGTGAAAAAATATTTTTTTTTGTTAAAAATAAAAATCAAAAACCAAAAACTCGGTTATTCGCATTTTTCACATAAATTTTGAGGTTATGTGAAAAAAGTGTCGATACAAAAGTTGTAGATCTTTTTATTACCTACAACTTTGCTATTTAACTTTTTTTCATAGGACTTGCAGTTTTACCGGAAATCGAGATTAACCATTTTTTACCCTTAAAAACTCACCCCCTCCCCCTTCCCGACCTCAGATCGCCCGTAATTTATTTTTCCTTTCATTTTTGTTATATTCTCTACCTTTTCTAATGGGTTTCATCCTACTATAATTTTTTTTCACTTTTCACCATTTTTAAAATTATCGACCCTGGTCTATTAAGGTTTCCACGGCAAAAGGCGCAAATATATACGGCTTTCCCAAGGCCCCATATTTACGCCTTTTATTGGTTTCGCCTGTCGCCGCAGCTGCGCCGGCTTTGCGAGCGGTCGCTCTCACGTGAGATGGGGCACATATTAATGTTGGCTATACAAAAAAATATTATATATTAAGATTTATGAAATGAACTGACAGCATTATGAAAACTTGTCGTGTTTTTTTTAAGTTTTTTTTTGTTTTTCGTAAAATTAAATGCTGTCGGGAAGTTTTTCGCCTAATTCATTCCGTTATTGAAAGGTGTATTTTGTGGTTCAGATTTGCGTGGAGCACTCGTCGGTCCGGGAATGTGGGGCGGCAGCGGAGGCCGTGGACCTGGCGTCGTGTCTGCGGGCCTTCACTCGCGACGAGCGCCTGGAAGCCGCCTACCATTGTGAGCGGTGTCGCGCCGCCCGCCCCGCCTACAAGAAGCTGCAGATATGGCGCGCGCCGCCCGTCCTAGTGCGTATTGTACTCATAGCGGAGGCCGGGGACCTGGCGTCGTGTCTGCGGGCCTTCACTCGCGACGAGCGCCTGGAAGCCGCCTACCATTGTGAGCGGTGTCGCGCCGCCCGCCCCGCCTACAAGAAGCTGCAGATATGGCGCGCGCCGCCCGTCCTAGTGCGTATTGTACTCATAGCGGAGGCCGGGGACCTGGCGTCGTGTCTGCGGGCCTTCACTCGCGACGAGCGCCTGGAAGCCGCCTACCATTGTGAGCGGTGTCGCGCCGCCCGCCCCGCCTACAAGAAGCTGCAGATATGGCGCGCGCCGCCCGTCCTAGTGCGTATTGTACTCATAGCGGAGGCCGGGGACCTGGCGTCGTGTCTGCGGGCCTTCACTCGCGACGAGCGCCTGGAAGCCGCCTACCATTGTGAGCGGTGTCGCGCCGCCCGCCCCGCCTACAAGAAGCTGCAGATATGGCGCGCGCCGCCCGTCCTAGTGCGTATTGTACTCATAGCGGAGGCCGGGGACCTGGCGTCGTGTCTGCGGGCCTTCACTCGCGACGAGCGCCTGGAAGCCGCCTATTAATGTCCCCACTGCTGGGGCACAGGCCTTCCTTATGGATGGAATAGGGAGATTGGGCCATGACCCACCACGCGGGCCCAGTGCGGATTGGTAGGTGCTTACGACTGCAGATGCAGCCGGGATCGGTGAATTAACGTGCCTTCCGAAGCACGGAGGAGCTCGATATAGTAAATTTTTGGTCACCCATCCAATGACCGACCACTGCGAAAGTTGCTTAACTTCAAAGATCGCAGCCGAACACGTTAGCGTGGTTGAGTGGTTACACTTGCGCCATCGTACTTCTCCAGGATTATACTCATAAGATACTGATTAACCCAGGAAAATTTTGTTTCCTAACAGATTCTCAAAAAACTAAAATCAAACGTCAGGGTACACCAAAAGCAGATCAGAGTAGAGCATTTTTTGAGTCTCTGAAAAATCAAGCTTATGACAAATTGCGAAATTAAATACATGTCCAAAACTGATGGTCGTTCTATATGCGCGAGCGTGCGCTAACGCTAACACGGGTAAACTCTTATACTACGATTAGTCATTTTATAACTTGCAATATTGAGTTAAATTTGCAATCATTAAAATGCTTTTTTTAATGTTCATGTATAATTCAAACTTCCATTGGTCGATTCTAAATTTTGACTAAGGTAATTTCTAGTTTATCTTGCAGAAAATTTGCTTAAAATCGATTCAACGAGAACTAGATATACACCGCAGAAAAATGTCAAAACATCAATGTCAACTTGTCATTTTTCTGTGGGTTAGTTTTCGAGATTTGACAAAATGTCTCCTAGTGGAACTGGGTCAATAAAAAATTACCTTCTCGTTCTAGAAAACAATAGGGTATTTGACAGTATTAAAAATAAAGTGCCAATTGTTAGCATCTGTGTTTAGAATGAATATTGGCAGGGGGTTTTACTATAATTACATAAAACGAAAAAGATAATAGTTTTCTTATCTATTGTCACGTGACCCAAAACGCTTGGGATTGGCGGAGCCTAAAATGACGTCACACGCAAGTAAACTTCCGGTTATAGTGACATTACATTGTATCGTTTGACGTTTTAATGACAGTCGTGTGACGTCACTCACTAGTAAGACGCCATATTGTCCAGAGAAAGGTTCTCGCGGCAACTTGAAAATGGAGTTTTTGATTTGGTTATTTTTACTGAAATACACTACAGAATGATGAATATCCACTTTTTACGGGCTCCATAAACATTAGTCAATAACGTGAGATCGTTTTCTTATTAAACTTGTCAAATACCCTATTGTGACTCTTTCTATAAACCAACCATATCTCTCTAGATAATCCATCTGAAGAGGTTCCAGTACGTGAACAACAAGTGGATAAAGTCACAGAAGGTGGTAAACTTCCCGTTCGAAGACTTCGACCCCACAGAGTTCCTGGCGGCCGTGCCCCAGGAGACTATCCTCAGGCACCACGAGCTGATGAAGGCCAGCGCCCCCGCACCCAGCCTTCAGGACCAACTTGAAGAAGAGGACGCCATATCCGAGACTGATACTGAAGATGAGGAACATTCCGCGCCTACAACGCAACAACAACCCACCAAACAAACGTCCAAGGTAAGTACCGTACCCCTAGCACGAACCAAAATCGAATTCGTAACCTTTGCGAGTCCGAAATGTCATTGTCAAATCTGTACTGATTTTTAGTTCTCGTTACGTACTTTGTGCAGCTGCTGTTCAAGTTTTCATACAAAATTTTGACATTGACGTTTCGGTTTGCAAACTCTTCGAATTCGATAATGGTTCGTGCTAGGGGTACTGTAACGCCCGTTGCGTTACGGCTTTTTTGCTTGTGTAAACTCTTTGCTCATGTAATGCCTACGGCTGGCAGTTATATTAAAAAGGTTTTAAAGATTCGAAAAAATTAAAAAAAATGGTTGTCTGTAAAGTTGGTTTACTGGTGATAGTTGAACGTGACAACGATTTTTTACAAGTATGAATGTGCTTTTTTGAAATCATAGCTACGCTCGATAATTATTTCGATCGAATATTACAATTAATTTTTTACTCATCGTTAAAAAGTTCTGTTAACTTATTGTTATAGTTTTGTCGATTATAGCATAACCTACAATCGCTGCACTAGCGGACCGATGCTATTTATTGTAATGATGAAAGCACGAATATTCGACAATATATCACTGAACATATATTTAATATCGAAAGAATCATTACCTTTATCGCCGCAATTATCGTTGCTATAAACAATTGACACCACATTCACTTTTCACTGCACTTCATACTTGACGAAAACATGTATATGTATTATTGTATAGTAGCTGTCCACGCGAATGCATCGCTCACTCAAGTAGGGGAGAACGCTGCCGAACGCGGAGGCCGATTTTGCCTCTTGTTTTTTGCATCTGTATTTAGTATGAATATTAGCAGCGATTTAACTATTCTGAAAAAACAAATAATAAGTAAGTTTTGTTTAAAATCAGTAAAAATAGAAATGATTTCTTTATTGTCAAGTGACGGTCAACGCCTGAGATTGGCCAAGACTAAAATGACGTTACGCGCTAGTAAACTTCCGGCCAAAACAAATTACATTGTATCATTCGACGTTCGCACACTAGTGAGAAGCAATAATGTCCAGAGAAGTCGTTCCACGGCAATTTGAAAATTGAATATTGAATTTAGTTTTTTTTTACTGATTTACATATCATAATGATGTCGATTCTGGCATGATTATCTAAACTTAAAACTAAATTTAACATCGGGTTCTCCTTTTCATTCTGTATAAAGAACGACAAGGATAGGCTGTTGTCAAATTTAAGTTTAGGTTTAGAGAATCATGTCAGAATCGACACCATTATCTACTATCTATATATTTATGTACTCCATAAACATAAGTAAATAACATGAGATCGTTTTTTAAAACTTGTCAAATAATGAATAATATGATTTCATTATTTTTTGTATTGTCATACTGTTACTAACAAAGCATTTAAGTCAATCATACTAATATATCTATGGACTCTGTCTGAAAATAAACGATTTTTATTTTATTTTATTTATTTTTTATTTTATTATTCAGGGTGTGAACCGTCGCCGCTCCAGCCTGGCGGCGCGCCGTCAGCGGCTGGAGTCAGCCAGTTTAACGGCCACGCCTGTCTCCGACGACAACCTGGTGGACTTCCATCAGCACCGGTTGCTGCCTGATGAGGACCCCTTCGACCTCAAATACAACCTCTACGCCGTCGTGGTGAGTTATATAGTATTAAGATATCGCGAAGTCTGTTTGATTTCAGTTTGCGTAGTATGAATAAATGAGAGTAGTAACTTGTTATATTTCACAAAATGAAATCGACAATTCTAGAGAAACCTTAAAGATGAGACACGATAAAATTTTGGGATCGGGGTGTTAAAGGTTGCAGCAAAATTTTTTTTGCTTTTTTATAGATAGGTCCGACAAATGATGCAAATAATATAAAAATTATGACTATAAAATAAAAAACTGGTTGAACAAAGTTTAGGAATGCCGTGTCCTACTATTTAGGCAAAAAACAATGAACGATTAAAGTTTAGTACAACGATTAATAGTACCCAATGTATCAAGACCAGACTCATCCAGGCTGGCAGCATCCGTTCACGAGCATGACGCATGAACCATCCATCGCTTCGCTCGACCATTTTTTAGGGAACGCAACGACCCGCCTCACACGATACCACCGAAGAGATTTTTAAGAGAGCATGACTACTCATAACCAAAGAAGGATACTATGTTACAAAAATAGAAAATATTATATAAGTACTATCGCGGAATTTTGCGATCTGTCACTTGTCGAACAAAATGCTTTGAACGGTTTTCTACAGTAATTTTTACTACGCCCCGCCTTCGCGTCGGACTCGCTAATCTGGGCCGCCGCACAAAAGTAAGACAGAGAGCATTTCATTGATTGAATAATGAATTGAATTGCATTTCTTTAAGTTGCAATTTGTCATCGGCATCGTGATCGCGACAGCGCTTTACGAAAAAGTAAGACAGCGATAATTACATGTCTATGAATGAATTTTTACTACGCCTCTACCGCAAGCGATTATGGCATTATGGGTGACAGAGCGGGTCTTTTCGTGTGTAAAGCAGTGTACATCTTACAGAATACCTATGTTGTTGTGTACAGTCGCATTCGGGCCAACTGAGCGGGGGGCACTACGTGTGCTACGCGCGCAATCCATCTGGTACCTGGCTCTGCTACAACGACAGCGCCTGCCGATCCGTGTCCCGCCACCTCATCGACCCCAGCGCTGCCTACCTGCTGTTCTACCAGCGCCGGCGCCTGCACTACACCAGGTGAGGTGCCATATACTGGCCCCGGCCGGGTATCGATCCGTGTCCCGCCACCTCATCGACCCCAGCGCTGCCTACCTGCTGTTCTACCAGCGCCGGCGCCTGCACTACACCAGGTGAGGTGCCATATACTGGCCCCGGCCGGGTATCGATCCGTGTCCCGCCACCTCATCGACCCCAGCGCTGCCTACCTGCTGTTCTACCAGCGCCGGCGCCTGCACTACACCAGGTGAGGTGCCATATACTGGCCCCGGCTTCGGAAGGCACGTTAAGCCGTTGGTCCCGGCTGCATCTGCAGTCTTTAGCACCCACCAATCCGCATGGGGCTCGCGTGATGGATTATGACCCAATTTCCCTATTCCATCCATAAGGAAGGCCTGTGCCCCAGCAGTGGGGTCATTAATAGGCTGCTGATGTGATTAGTGTGGTATTGTATTGAAAATGTGTGATTAGTACTGTAGGGCTTAACCTGAAGAGAAGTCCTGGGGGGTAAAACTCAAATGGTAGGTAAATAATGAATGAGACTTTATAATTTGTTTATTCGAATTCAAGGTGATTAGAATAATTACAAATTAATAGACAACTACCAGTTCTTGTGCCTGAATTCTATCTGCTGGAATCTTACATAAAAGACAGAAGATCCTAATTTCAATTTTTTTAAATAATGACATTAACTTTTTAATATAACTGCCAGCCGTAGGCATTACATAAACAAAGAGTTTAAACAAGCAAAGAGGTCGTAACTCACCGGGCGTTACAGTACTGTATTGGGCTATATCTTACAACTAGCGGCCCGCCCTAGCTTCGCTTCGGTGTAGAGCTGAAGTGTAGACTACAGTTTTTGTTCTGAGGCTTGTATTATACACAATGGCATTCATCTAGGATTGCATGCAAAGTCACAGCCCGATCGGTTTAAAATTGACAAAGTTTCATACAAACTTTCATTCCCTATTTTATCCCCTTGGGGGTAGAATTGATCAAAATCCTTTCTTAGGTGATGCCTACGTCGTAACATCTACCTGCATGCCAAATTTCGCCCGATCCGTCCAGTGGTTTAGGCTGTGCGTTGATAGATCACTATGTCGGTCAGTCGCCTTTGAGTTTTATATGTATACTAGCGGACCCGACAGACGTTGTCCTGTCTACACGTCTTTGTGAATCTAAACCATTCTCAGATCCCCTCGAACACTCCGTACCGCCCAAAAGTAATAATTTGCAATAAATTAAAATTGCGACTATAATTTGAGATTTAAACTATCCTATCTCTCAAGTTGGATCGAACTGCACATGGTGTGCGAATTTTATTATAATCGGTTCAGTGGTTTAGGAGTCCATTGAGGACAAACATTGTGACACGAGATTTATATATATTAAGATTACTCAATATAGTATTGTCGTCCGCCCCGCGCAGGTACCTCCCGGAGGTGAGCGGGCCGCCCCCCGCGCCGCCCGCCGCGGACCCCGACGAGCCCGACCTCGCCAATAACTGCGTCATCGCGTAACCACCACCAGCACCATCACCACTACAACACTACCCTCAACAATACAATCCCCCAAAACACACAATAAAAAGTAGCCATAAAAATTCTGACTAATACCACAAAAAATATATTTAAACTTACCGTTATTGAATACCAGAGGGCCATCTCTTTTTCTCCGAAACGAACTTTCGATAACGAATTTCAAACGAAATTTAATTTCATAAATTTAAGGTTGTACTGTATTTGAACGATAAACTATCAAAATGAAGCTATCTTTGAGAAGGCTTAGAAAATCTTACCTCAATCTATGTTTCGACGACGAATATTATTATGATTAAAAACGAACCAGAAACATAGTAAGAAAAGTGCGAGGTTTTTATTGAAATTTCGTTTTACGTTGAATTTTTACGGGTCCTAGGCCGTAGCTAGAATGAGGGCTGCCGTTTTTTGTCTCACCAGATGGCGCCCCTGGTGAGTGAGGTTCTGAAATATAGCTTTTAAAGTTTGTTTATACGAGCATGAAATCAAAGTTTACATTCAAATCATATTTTAATACAAAAGAACCGTATCGTAAACATAATCGACCATGCCACATTGCTACGCAGTGCCGTTTTGATCGGAAAAAAGGAGGACGGAATAATAATTTTGTCTTAACTCCTAACTCTTTAAATCACTGACATTCATTGACACGTAACTCATGTTTGCCAAAATTAATCGGTGTCATTACCAAATATTCACAACTTCATTTTAATAAGCAATAAACCTGCGTAGTCAACCCACAAGCAATAACATTTGACATTTCTGAGACCTCACGCTACAGAAGCGCCTCTAGCGGCGGATTGAAACGCGATAGCCTCATTGTATTAAGATAATAAGAGCAGTGGTAATTATAGGTAGAGCTTATGCAGGGGCATGCCGACCTTCGCATCCTGCCGCCCCGTTTTAAGGTAGGCCAATGGTATTTTAAGGTGGGACATTACCCCATAATGCCCCGCCCTCTAGCTACGGCCCTGAATACCACCGTATCGTCAGTCATTTGTAAAACAAACGGCCTCACTCTGACCCCTCGTTTCCACCAGGAAACAAGTCATATACTTGTTTTAAATAAAACTTGTAGAATACTTACTTGTTGTGGCTGTTTGAAACATTATTTCTTTTACTCTCAAAAGTCAAAATATATTTATTAAAATTGAATGAAAAATACAACTCTTTTGAGTCGTCCATATTTTTCCCCCTACCACCAGTTAAGAACATTTTTTGTAGCTGTGGAGAAAAACTGGCGAAAAAAACTTCACAGCGTTACATAATTATGTAACAATATTTACAAAATATTATATTGTTACGGTGTCAATACAAAATAATTACACTACATAGACAACTAGTATCTTACAAGTATGAAGCACTTATTTACTTCACATATTTTGTTTATCCAACAAGTTTGATGCGAGTATTGTATACTACATGTTTTGTACATGTAACATAAGAACAAAAAATTAAGACTGTATGAAAAATTTGTTATATACATGTATTACACCTTGGTGTAAACGAAGGGCGAGACAATCTTCAAGTAAAAGCCGCGCCAATATAGAAACGATTCCAAAATGGCGTCTATGTACCTGCACTGACAGATGATACAGTCAACAAATAAGAAAAGAAAACGACAGTGCGAGAACAAAGTCAGAACTGATATTTTTTTTTGCATGCAGTACGCGCCGTGTGCGACTAAAGACAGCAATAGTTTAGAGTGAGAGCGCATGATCGCCGCCGCCATTTTAGTTTCGTTTCTTTATTGGTGTGGCTTATATCATAATATTTAAAATAAGCGTTATTTACACTGAACAATACTACTTAACCAAATCAGTGATAGATAATTATACAAGTATTAAGTAAAGTCTGCAATATGCATAGCTAATGAGATCATTAATTTATTATTTATATTACAAAATGGTGGCTACAATAAACATCACACGTGAAATGATTGAAGTGCTGTGGAAGATGCATAAACTCATTTAGTCCTCGTAAAAACTTTAGCACCGATTCAAGGAGCAAATGATAATGTTACTTAATTTTTAAAATTGAAAGAATGTGATGCGTCGTTTCATTCCTTTGTTTTTTTCTTATGCATATAATTACACATAATTTAGAAAATTATTAGCACCGCTTACTGTTTACTGCTTACTTAAAAAACTGTTGCTGCAAAAGTTTAATTTTGTGCCAGCAGTCAAGTCCTTTCTTCCTCCTATACAGGCGTCTCATTCAATTCCAAAACATGTTTTGCCTTATCGGCGAATGTTAATAAAATACGAAAGACTGTTTCAAACCGATTCAAAATGAGAATAAATAAATAATCTTTTCACCTATTTTTTAAGGAATAAGGTGATTGTAAAGACGTGTAATGTCGATATATATAGTTAGTCATGTTTAGACTAATGTATTTTTATTGATATAATTGTTAAATTTTTGTTGAAAAAAATATATAGGAGGTTATTTACACTATTGGTTTGGAACAGACTACTTCCGCCTTATTTCAGAACGTAGACTAAAGATATACCAGTCCCCGTTGCATGAGCACCACAATTTACATTATATCACGTTTTTTATCGTGTCTAACTGTCAAAGTAATTTGACAGTTGAGCGTGATAAAAACGCGTTATATTTCATAACGCGGTGGTCATGCTAGGGCATAGTCTGGGCTGGACGAAAACTGATACTGGTGTCGATTCTAGCATGATTCTCTAAATTTAAATTTGACAATAGTATATCTCTGTCTTTCTCTGTATAGAATGAAAAGGAGAGACTGATGTTAAATTTAGTTTTAAGTTCAGAGAATTATGCCAGAATCGACATCACTTGTTTGTTTTTAATTTGTTTCCTAAAAAGAAGATAGAGTTTTAGATAGGTTCAGACCACGACTAAGTTTAGTCCGCGTTTTGGAATGGAGGTGGTTTATTTTTTGTGTGATAGAACAAGAAGTATGGGTGAACCGCCGCAGCTAACGGCGTCGTCCCATAAAATATTATTTATAACCGAGACTGATGTGATTAATGTAATTTTATTGTAATGTGCGATATTACTCAATGATCTTTTTTATATTTCATGAGGAGCTGGCAAACAAAACGGTATCATTACATAAAATTAAATTTTACAAGAGCTTTATAAAATTTAATGACATACCTCCAGTGAGGTTTTGGCATGGTTTTTAATTTATAAGTTTAGTAATTTTAACACTGTTGTATTTAGGTGGCTTTGATTGAAAATTATTTGCGATTCAAATTCAACGGGCCCGAAACCTCCGGACTGTAAAAAAAATGAAATTTGACCGTTTTGTTTACCAGCTCCTCATATCCAAGCTATAAATATGTGGGATGCCCGAGATACTTCGTATGTTACAAAGTATAATAGTCGCCTACAGATTTTGAATATCTCAGTATTCTTACTGCGCAGAGTCTAAAATGCCTTAAAATTTTGTAAATAGCCTAAATATTACAAGTGTTCCACGGGCATCTATAATATATTTAAATGTATTTAGAGTTATATTTAATGTATAATTCGGTATTAAGTTAATTAATATAATAATAATTATTATTATTAATAATGATAAATTTATTATTTAATCGAGCGAGATTGGTGTAAAGAGCTTTCTAGTGTATGCAAATGGGCTCAATATTTTAATTTTATACGATAACTTCGGACTGTTATGTCGCAAAGCTTCGTACATTTTTAGTGAGATGATATATTTAGAATTAGTTTTGTATCTATGGTGAATTTGTTGATATTATAATTATGAATACCATCATACACGGCCCTATTCTTTTTATTCTTATGACGCGGTATCTGAATGATTTTGCAGCTATATAAAAGTTTTATTTCGTCTTTCTTCTTTACGAGTCTAGTTTGTATACTTACTATCTTCATTTCAAAGCTTGACTGCAAAAATGAAAACCTCATGCTGGCACTTTACTTGGCTATTTGTCAACTCGACATCAGTCTGTCCTTTTCATTCCTTATAAAGCATGATAAGGAACAACAGACCGTTGCCAAGATTACAAACAGCAAATACGAATACCCAAGTGAAGTGACGGCATCAAAGTTGTAAGCCTCTAGTTCAAATCGAGACGGAGAGATTCGATATTGGTGTCGATTCTGGCATGATTCACTAAACTTGAAACTAAATTTGACACCAGTCTCTCCTTTTCATTCCGTATAAAGAATGACAAGGATACACTGTTGTCAAATTTAATTTAAGGTTTAGAGAATCATGCCAGAATCACCACCATTGTTTTTATTTTTATTTTTGTCGTCGACCTTATCTATGATATCAGCAAATCGTGTATGGTGGCTAGTGCGCGTTCCACGTTTTGTATTTAGCAATATGTATATAAGTTTTATTTTTACGTTATGCGAACGTTAGTGACATTTCGTATTGTTTGTTATACAACGAACATGTTTATGTTCCGTGCCATCACGCCCTTTATAAACTACCAAAGTCGATGTTATTGAAATTCTAAAATGTTGTCGCATCCGTTGTTGTTTGCTATTTGATAAAATACAAAAGAGCTTTAATTATGCGCGGACGCCGGTCGCTTTTGACTCTATAGAAATCTAAGAGATGTTATTTTATTGCTACTCAGGGCCCGATCTAGAAAATTTGCCGCTCCGGGCAAAGATTTTTGCCGCCCTTTAGTGACGTACTTTAGGGCTGACCCTAAGTCAATTTTTGCCGCTCTGGGCAAATGGCCGGCTCGCCCCCCTCCCCCCTGGATCGGGCCCTGCTGTTACTGCCCACATAACACGTATTCACCGCTTTATGAAGTATGTAAAATACGAAACTTACTCTTATACATGCCATATTTTCATAAATAATAAATAGAAAACATGAATTTGAAACTGTTATTGTGTTATGTATAAGTATTTTGAATATCCCTGTGCAATAAAAAAATCTTTTGTATAATCTGTTTTTTTTTTATTTGCCCAATATCTTGGACCGTGCAAAGGAATAATGATTGGAACATACACAGTGGTGTCGATTCCGGCATAATTCTATAAACCTAAATTTAAATTTGACTACAGTGTATTCTTGTCATTCCCTATAGAGAATTAAAAAGAGAGACTGATGGTAAACTTAGTTTTAAGTTTAGAGAATCTTAACAGAATAAACCTAAACTTAAATTTGACAACAGTGTATCCTTGTCATTCTCTATACGGAATGAAAAGGAGAGATTGATATTAAATTTAGTTTTAAGTTTAGAGAATCACGCCAGAATCGACACCAATGTCGTAGTAGTTGTGGGTGGTCAGTATTGTGGAAGTTAAAAAGTTACAAAATGGTCGGGCATCACATGTTTGACCAAAAATGTCATTTCGTGCACACAATGCTTCGTTGTTGTAGGCAGTAGGCTGTATCTGTACTCGGAAGGGCTGTTTCACACTGGAATGGCAGCGGCCAGCAGCGACGCGGCGAGCCAAACTGAAATAAATGTTATCTGCATACATTACCGCTTGATAAGGTCCCTCGGTAACACGAGCGGAAACGTCTAATTTAACATGATGTATGATAATTAATAATAATCATTTATTCATAACCCTCAACATTTGCTTCATACATGTAAGATACAGACAAACCTATCTTTCTCCCGCGCTCTACAAGTACTCCCACACATAACTGCGAATTCGCATAGCATCGCAGATATCTGCGAGCTCGCACGAATGCACCGCAAGAACTTCCGGTCTGATTCGCGTCGCGCATTCCTGCGATATTGCGTCACGCTTAGTGACGCTTTTTTAGCATAGAGGTATAAGAATAGAGTAAGGGAGATATAGACTACTACAAGTGTCGTTGCGGAGTTTATTGTGAATTTGCTTTGTTAGGTTTTGAAATTCGCTCTACTCTACGCTAATAAGAATTGACCTTTTCATTTCAAATCCATAAGTTCGTCACGCTGCATCCGCATCACAAGCTGGAATCACAGAAACTAGACCGGTGTGTACAGTACCCTTAGCTCGAACTAATATCGAATTCTAAGGCGTTGAGCAGACGACGGGGCGGGGCGGACATTTTGTCCGCGAAGCAATAAAGACCGCGTCTGCCCGTCGATGTCTGCGGCAGCCCGCGCCGCGTACACAAAGCACACGACGGGCAGAGGCGGTCAGTTCAGGACGTTCGTTCTAGTGAATAGTCCATCAGTAATAAGCGCGTGGCGCGGACTGAGCTGACCGCCCCGCGCCGCCGTCTGCGTTACTGCATATAAACTGGTTTGTATGATCCACGGCGGGCAGCCGCGGACATGCCGCGCCGCCACTGCCCGCCGGGCACCCGTGGCGCGGTCTTTTTGCCCTCTGTGTGCGTTTGAAGTATAGGATTCACTTTGTGCTATTATTCGCAGCGAAATTGACCGGCCCGCCCCGCTCCGTCGTCTGCAAAGCGCCTTAACGTTTGCAAATGCGAAAGGACATTGCTCGTTCCCCATTCATTGAATGCCCTAGAACGCACAGCAATGAGAAAATGATAGTTGCGTTCGGAATCATTCATAAACACTAATTATGCATTTGTTGAGATACGGATTAGATTTTAAGATAATAATTATTATTATATATAATCGTAAAAGGTGTACACTTTATATAATATTCTGAATAGATTTAGTGTTTACCTCTATGTACGCACCTCAATAATATGCATGAAATGAACAAAAAATGCAATTAACAATAAAATAATGAATGCTTATATTCATATTGATTTATTTATGAGTATTGGCAGTTGGCACCTATGATACCTATATCTACCTGTTGTAATAATAGATTTCTTTTGAAATGAAATGTTCAGTCTTTCCATTTAGGTACCTGTTTCTATATTTTACTATCGGTAATTAGGTATGTAAGATGGTTGACCCTATAGTTGACCACGCACCGGTTGTTGACCACTTGCGGCTTTGAGTGTTAATATTAAGCTTTCCCGCGATTAAGCGTTTCATTTCATGTTGGCTACATCTTGTTGGTACTAATACAATTCAGCCAATTACATTACGACTAGAAAGAGACAACCAGTGAAAGCTACAATTTAATTTTGTTTTGACTTATCGCTGACAGTTGCCATTCAGCCGCCATTGTAGTAAGGATAATGTTTAGAAAGGTAAGAACACTTTTAATTTATTTTGTATTGTTTTTTAATGAACTTGTTCGGATGATTGTTTTTTGTAATCATTTTATGTTTATTATAAAGATTTTCAATGAATTTCAAATGCAAACGATATATTTCATGAGTTATTTTACTGGTTAACAAAAGGTACATGAATTGATTAGGTGCTCCTGTGATTGACCAATTGGTCAACTATTAATACACTGAAGTGGTACTCTTTTTACTTTTTTTAACATTTTCATGTCCAGTATATGAGTTGTAACTCGACTATCAATTTTAAAGAGTAAATTACTTACGTTTCCGTTAGTTGACCAGTGGTTTGACATTGGTACTGCATACAAATCCTATAATTGACCAAACTCTTAATATGAGTTTTGTTTTCTTGTTTTAGATACAATATGCCACCAAAAAAGAAATTAAAATTAATAATAATGCTTGCAACTTATCAGATCCTCAATCAACAGCAAATATACATAATAAATGGGACTTTAATTCTGAAACAGAATGCACAATGCCTGCAGAATCACCACTAAAAAAAAGTGGTAATAAAAGGTTCAATAGAAAGCGATTGCCAGATGCAGTTACATCAGTAGAGTGGATGCAATACTGGAATGAAAAAAGTAAGGAACATGAAGAAAAGAAAATAGGAAATTAGCAAAAGAAGAATAAAAGAAGTTACAAGAGTTGAAAAAAGTTGAGAAACCTAAAACAAAACGAGTAAAAAAGTTCAGAATAGAATTGATTCTGATTCCGATGAGGATAATTTACCTTTGATCAATTTAATTACAGTAATAAAGATAGATCAGACGAGGAAATAGGATCATATGTTATAGTAAACTACGAGGGGAGTTTTTTCCCGGAATTGTCAAAAATATTGACAAAAAGAGTAAAGAAGTTAGTACGACGGTGATATCAACTTCTAATACTTTTAAATGGCCAGATAAAGAAGATAAAATTTGATATGCTAATGACAGCATAGTGGAGAAAATTAATGCTCCTGTATCAATTAATAATAGAGGTTCATATAAAGTACCAGAAATGGCCAAGTATCTTTTTTGGATCTGATTCCTTTTTTAAATTTGCAGTTTTTAATTTTGAATCAATACGTGAATTTAATTATGAATCTTAAATATTTTTAATAACAATTTTATTAAAAAAAATATTTGTTTGATATTAACAAAGAATTACTTAACCAAAACTTTAGATTGTTTAAAAAGTTCAAAGTTTAAGTGAAGTTATGATTCGTTATTTTATGGTGATTTGAAAATGTGCCATTTAGATTTCAGAATTAATATTGTGATTGTTGAGACTGACTTTAATTTAATTTACTTATTGATCTCAATTAGTCCTAAGAACAAACCATAAAGTTGATTATAATTGTGAATGTAGTTATTATTTCACTTTTTTATAAATGGTCAACCTCTGGTACAAATCTCGATAACAACTGGAGCCGGCTGGTCAAATTAGGGTACATCCCAGTTTTATACCGATTATCTTGAATAATAAAATAAACAAAAAGAAATCAAATATTTTCCTTCCCATATACAACTTATAACTAGATAACTTACAATATAAAAAAAATGGGTGCGTGTACTTATGTAGGCGCGTGAGAAGTTATCTTTCTTTGGCATCGTTTAAAATTAGTTTTTAATTGCATGCAAATAATTAATTACAATAAATTAATAAAAAGTCTGGAAAAGGACACAGTCAATAAAGTTCAGTTTTAATTTGAAAAATTAAATAAATATTCAATTAAAATCACTACTGAATTTAAGTTATTAGTCCATAATATGTAATTAGCACTTGTAAGTAACTAAAACACGTTGTGTCTATATAGAAACTAGAAACATGTGGATAAATATTATAAATATGAATACCTATAACTGTTACTTTATTACAAAAAATAAAGATGTGGTTTTTGGTTCTACTACACCAATGGTCAAGAGATGGCGCTGTAGTCTCCTGAATCGCGCTTTGGTTCCGTTGTTCCAGATTAATAAATACTTTTGATAGGCCTTCACAACGCAGTCGTTAGCACCCACTAAATAGAGATTATTTCTATTTTGTTGGTAGATTTTCTTAATGTGCGGTAAACACAAAAGTAACGCATGAAGTTGGTCGCTTTAGCGACCAACTTCATGCTGTTAAAATTTTGTGTTACAGTGATGCGCGCTAGGACTGTTGATATTTTTTAAAATATCGTATTCTCGATATATCGATAGTTTAAAATATATCAATATCGGAGTTTGATATATCGAAAAAAAATATCGATATTTCGATAGATCGATATTTTTTTTGATTTTATTTTATAGGCTTTCGTTTAAAAAAAACAATCCTAAGTCGGCTCAGAAATTATTTACACAGTTTTTAATTCAGTATATTTATTAAACAAATTAAATTATAAATGTATGAAAATGTTAGGTTCTTAACAATTATTGTTGAATTTTTATTAAACAACTATGCTTATGCTACTGACATTATGATGAAAGTTTTCTTTTGCTGCATTAGTGATAGCTTTTTTATTATTTGTCCTTTCTTTTATGTATAATTGGGCGTATGCATGGTGATGTTTACTTTTTAAGTGGCTCGCTAAATTAGTTGTATTTCCGCTGCTTTTGTAAGTTTTTCCACATAAGTTACAAGAAACACTTTTTGTATCTACTTTCTTAAAATACGTCCACACAATAGAAGAATTTTTCGAAGACGACATAATTATGGAAGTTCACTATTACTATGTAACTAGATTTTAAACAAGCTAAAACACGTTAATTACAACAAGACAGTAATATTTTTTCATAACCTCTCTTTTTAACTTTGCTCGTATTATTTTTTTTTGTTGAAGTTCTCCCGTTTTAGGGAAGGCAAAGGGAACAATGCCCATACAGCCTGGTCTTTAATTAAATTAATCTTCTTTTTGTTTTTACATTAGAATGTCGGTATGACGCATTCTAATGTTTCTTGCAGTGTTTGGCACGAAATGTATCGAGTTGGCTTTTTCGATAAGCTTCTGTGAGGTAGTCAACACTACAATAAAATTCTCACGTCCACTTGACCGGAATAGCGTATATTTTAATGATTCCACTAATTCTTCAGTTACGCAGACAGTTGTTACACAAAACCACACCAATTTTATTTCACAATACCCACTATGAACGAATTTAAGAATAATTAAAATAAGACGCCAACCGCACTCGATGAAATCCCGCCAAAAACCTTTGCTCGTATTAATCACCGACTACAGAGTAGTACAGAGACAGACCATAGATAATGAAAACTTATTTTTAAAAAATATCGACCGTCGATATTCATATTTCAATATCGAAGTATCGATATATCGCCCAAACTAATATTAGTAATAAATATCGATATTTCTAAAAAATAATATCGATATTTCGATATTTTATCAACAGTCCTAATGCGCGCGCATCTTAAAATTTCACTCTCATCATTTTTTCATAACGCGCCTAAAGAAGTATAACTTCAATAAACTAGCAATAAATATCGCTGTTAGGCTATATAGTAACATTTTAAAGTTAATAATTTCCTTTAAATGGTTTGAGACCGGGATATCCACCCTACTTAGTTATCATTATGATTTTTCATAAAAATAAACAGATATTATATGGGATGGGAGTATAAACTATCTTTACACAAATTCAGAAATAATCTTTATATAGATGTAATATAAATACTAGTGATCAGTATTATTAACTAAGGTACCTAGTTCTATTCTTATGTTGATAAATACCTATGGTCGCCTATATTGCATTTATTAAGATAAACAATCTTGGCACAACTTTTTAACAAAATCACCCATTTAAAAATAAAATAATACGGAAGCCAATAAACTATTAAAATAAATCGTTATTATAGACTGAAACCTATTGAATACAGTTATCAGTTGATTTTTAATGCTGTATTTTCAATAAAAAGGAGTGCCATGATTGTTTACCAAATAGGACAAGTTAGGATGAACAGAATGTAGTATCTAGTAACATGATTTTTATTTTTTGTCCGTTTACTATGATTAATTGCTAATAAGTTAAAAAAATAGTAGAAAAATAATAGTGTAGGACATTCTTTTGGGCATGCTGGGGGCGATTGCGTCGATGTCCTTTCATTGTCAAATGTGTACAAAAAATGAGTTCCCGTTACGTCCATTGTGGTGCTGCTGTGCAAGTTTCCGTACAAAATTTGACAATGACAATTCGTACTCACACACTATTCAAATTCGATATTGGTTACTGCTAGGGATACAGATCAAAGGCCCAAACACAAATTTTGACAGCTCCGTAATCATATCGTCAAATTATTATGTATGAAAGGAGCGAGTTTGTTCTTACTTCCAGCGTTGTCCAAGAAATGAAGTGTTTCGGGTCGCAATTTTTTCGTCCTGCATGGATTTGCTTGAAATTTTCCCCTGTTCCCAGTTGAACTACTGGAAATTTCCTTCCTAATAGACTTGCCAGTAAGACCACTGGGAACTTTGTACGCAGTAGATTTGTGATCAGTAAAACAGCTCCAATAGTCCTCTCTTATGTAGACCCCGGTAATTGATATTTTGTGACACATTCGTCATATTCCTTTTTTGAAGTTATACTTCTTTAGGCGCGTTATGAAAAAATGATGAGTGAAATTTTAAGATGCGCGCGCATCACTGTAACACAAAATTTTAACATAATGAAGTTGGTCTTTGGCTTTAGCGACCAACTTCATGCGTTTATTTACCGCACATTAAGAAAATCTACCAACAAAATAGAAATAGAATCTCTATTTTGTGGGTGCTAACGACTGCATTGTGAAGGCCTATCAAAAGTATTTATTAATCTGGAACAACGGAACCAAAGCGCGATTCAGAAGACTACAGCGCCATCTCTTGACCATTGGTGTAGTAGAACCAAAAACCACATCTTTATTTTTTGTAATAAAGTAACAAAAAGTATTTATTAATCTGGAACAACGGAACCAAAGCGCGATTCAGGAGACTACAGCGCCATCTCTTGACCATTGGTGTAGTAGAACCAAAAACCACATCTTTATTTTTTGTAATAAAGTTACAGTTATAGGTATTCATATTTATAATATTTATCCAATGTTTCTAGTTTGTATATTCGGAATACGTGTTGAGTTTCATACAAGTGCAAATCACATATGTTCTAAAAATTATATTCAGTAGCGATTTTAATTGAATATTTTGATTATTTATTTATTTTTTCAAATTAAAACTGAACTTTATTGACTTCGTCCTTTTCCAGACTTTTTATTAATTTATTGTAATTAATTATTTGCATGCAATTAAAAACTAATTTTAAACGATGCCAAAGAAGGATAACTTCTCACGCGCCTACATAAGTACACGCACCCATTTTTTTTGACAATATATTATAGGCTGATTTTTGACTAAAACGGAATTTTGGACATATTTTGTTTTCGCCAGAATAAATTATGTTTGGACACATCTATTGGCCCACCTTAGAGTTTAGGTTTCGATGGCCCCTACCGAAATATGATTGCTAGATTGAACAAAAACTGTTGATGTAGTTTTAAACCTGATACATTTTACCATCTTTTTATTATTAGTATTTCTGAAGTAATTTTTCAACTTGACGACACTGTATATAACAATACAGGGAGAAAAAAACAGCCCTTGCCGAATTCCTTGTCGGTTCTTCTCAGTACAAGGTCTCCCGCCGTAGTTTTGCGAACCGATGGCGTAGCTTCTTGACCTTCACAAGTGCTTGTAACAGCCTAGACTGAATAAATGACATTTCATTTCAGTTAAACTGGCAAGGCTACTGGTAACAGGAGTAATAATTTTTGTTCTCGGCTAATTCCACAAGAACCTAAACATTTATCCAAGATAAATTTTAAGTTTATTACCTGGATAAACTGTGTGCCAAATTTTATCCAAATCTGTTCAGCCGTCTTTGCGTGATTCATTAGCATACAGCAAACTTTCAGATTTAAATATTTGTAGGATATAAGCTTTGCTCTGCAAGCAAAAACTGTTTCATTATAATCAAAGGTATTAACTTTTATGTGTAATGAAACGAAAATATGGACTTTTGAATTTTATTATTAGATTTACACTGTCATTTACAATAAATTTCCATGTAGTTGGTAGGACATAAATCAATATTGCATAACACTAAGGCTAATTGCATCAGTATTTTTGTGGATAAATTAACAAAATATATGCAATATTACAAATTCAAATAAAAATAACGCTAATATCTTACTCGGGCACGCACTTGCTCCACTGCTATGCCACACTACAATTTGGAGGTCGATCGAACATTGGCCAGAGAGTAACAGGTATCATCAAGATGGAATGTCTTCGAGTAGGCATTTCCCTCGAGCTGCGCACTGCATGCGTCATCAAATAAATATATACCGAGTGCATAATCTTAACCTAGCACAACTTTAGAACTACCGTTCGTCCTGTATAAATCGTAAGAGATGTAGCGCTACAGCAATTTTTTTTTCATAGAGAACATGCGAAATTAAAAAAGAATAAATTAAAATATACAAAATCTCTATCACAATACTCGTAAGTAATTAAAGCAGTTCAGTGTGAATACTCCAAATGTTGTAATACGAAGGTGGCGGGCCGAGCGGCCGCCCCGGCGGCAGGGCGCGGAGATCCGTTCAACGGTGGCACTACACAGTAGTCACAGTTTACACAAACGCAACGTCGCAATAAATACAAGTACGTACGCTCAATACGATAGATACATAAAAAGACCAACAGGGTGACGCCACTATCACTTATCTAAATATTGCGAGTAACTACGTCATACCGCCCTATACGCGGCGCGACGGCCGAGGCCGGGTGCCGCGCCGCGTCTGGTACAAAACACTTAGAAAATTTACAAGGCGGCGGCGCCGCACGGGTGGAGACGGGAGCTGGGAGCTGGGAGCGGGGAGCTGGGAGCGGGAGCTGGGAGCGGGGAGCGGGGAGCGGGGAGCTGGGAGACAGGAGGGGCGGAGAGGCGGAGAGGCGGGGCGGTTACGACACCTCCTGGTCGTCGTGGTCTGCGGCGGGCTCCTTGGTGTCGTCGTGGGGCGCGTCCTGCTCGCCCTGCATGTCGGAGGTCCACAGCGTGAGGTTGTCGCGCAGCAGCTGCATGATGAGGGTGGAGTCCTTGTACGACTCCTCGGAGAGCGTGTCCAGCTCCGCGATGGCGTCGTCGAACGCCGCCTTGGCCAGCCGGCACGCGCGGTCCGGGCTGTTCAGGATCTCGTAGTAGAATACCTGCGCACCGACACACCGTACCGTCAGTATAACGTAACCAGCTAAGTTTGGGACTCGATGGAAGATTGGACATCATAACGTTTACATATAAATCATTAATAAATTACAAAATTGGCTAAATCAACATGGAGCCCCTGCGAAATAAATTGAATTAAGTATACTGCATTATGATAAATAAGCATTATACACTTCGACAACTATTATATACCTACAAGCAAACTTGTCAATCTTATAAAATATAACTAAAGTTAGATTATACAGCCTTCATATTCAAATTCTGCTTCTTTTAAAATTGTTACTGAAAAACTACTTTTTTTTTAAAGCAAGTAAGATAATAGAATCCTTTTTCACTGCAAAATATCTGAATGCATATCTGATAAAATTATCATTATCCTGATACATGCAACTAAACCATCATAAGTCTACTATAAAAACTTTGAAGAATTAACACTTGAAATTCACAAACAAGAATGAAATTACCATAATATATTATTAATGATAATTTGCATATTTAATGTAACGTATAAAAATCATATCATGTTATAAAATCCCAATTGAACAAACATGTCTAACTGGAAAATCCACCTGAACATCATCATAATATTGTTCACTTGTATCTCTTTAGCATAGATATAAATTATAATTTCTACAATCATTTACTTAAGATTTCAATAAAGCTTAATTTTATTTTTCATTCCACTGCATATTATACATAATTTAGAAGATAATAATCTGAGATAAGCACTGTGTAATCTTATCAATTTAGAACATGTATCAAACTTTCATTTTAAATCGTCATAGTAACACTTGTGTATAAATTATGATGTTTATCTATCTACGATCTCTATATTGACGACACAGAAATAAGACAAACGCAATAAATTAGCTAATTATGTAATCAAGGATTAATTTCGATGGCATGACGGTCGTTAATGTTGACTGCTGTAATAAACGGTGCGTGGTAACCGTAGCATGGTGCGTCTGATTAACCGCGAATCGTTTGGGATTTTTTACGCTCGCGTCACGCTGACGTCACGTTGCCGTCGCGTCATACCATCGGTCACCCACTGTACTTAAGGTGTGAAGTAAACATCCTAAACTGCGAGCTAATAAATATGCGGCGTAAAAGTGACTACTATACCTTAGACTGCCTTAATCAACAAGTCTCGGAAAGTTTTACGATTCTATTAAAGATACATTAATATGTAATAACAATAGATATAAAAAAGTGTGGATATTGAACGTGACTAAAATTACGATTCCGACCATTCGAGAATAATCATACATATTTTAGATTTTTTGGTAGTTGCTTCTTGCTTACTTATGAAGCTTAGAAATAGATAGAGAATAGAAGAATTGATGAACCTGATTTGGAAAGTGGACCTTCTCTTTTTACAAACTCAAAAGCGATGTAATAGTAATCGAGAAAGAATGAATATGAGGATCATACTTACCAATGACAGATACAATACTGATTAAACTATGACCATGTGATTGGTTGTTGAAATGTACACGTGTGAATGGACATCAGGTATAGCTTATGTTGATTGAGTACTTTTATAATGTTGACACCCACCTTTACTATCGGCATGCGAAAGTTAGGCAGCTAACGTACATATTCAGATTCGTTTTTTGTATCCAGCAAAGGTAACGAATTTTCTAAATTTGGCCAGTTTTGATGTTGATACGACAAAGTCAAGTTATTGTACCTTTTGACTATACTTCGAATTACCCCACATCCTTCAATAACAATACAAACTGGGATCTAATTGTGTAACATTCACTCCTGCGATTATTTTTATTTCATATGTGATAAATAGATTAGCTTATATTTCATTTAAGCATGAAATTGATAGATATTAAAAGAAAAAAAAAACGCTTGGTTTGTTAATTAAGCCAGTCTGTTGGCTGGATATATGTCACACTGCAAAATAGCAGAAAGAATGAATCAGTCTTTAGGGCATACAATGATTTATTTAGTGCCATAGCGAGAGTGTACGTATTGATGTGTGTAGGAGTAATGTAGCGCCGAGGTAGCGAGTGGAGTGGTCGCTTTAAATGTCAAGTACTACATTTTGGTGGTGGTGTTTCTGTGAGTTAGGTTCCAAAGGCTTTGCGTGGCCAATCGAACAAGGCACCGCATATCACCCGCACTCCTGACGCGCTTTGGGGGGACTGCGGTCCTCAGAATGAGCGCCAGGTCCCCAAATTCCCAATTCAGGGCGTAGGTAGGACCCTGTTCACTCCAACGAAGCTAAGGGCTGACTGAAGTGGGCAGGGAGGAGTCCCACATACCTTCTTCTCGCTCCCCCAGTGGCTGAAGGATGCGTAAGGCATTTCCCAGACATAAAAAAAAGGTTCCAAAGGCCTAAAGAACCTAACTCACAGAAAGCGAGTGTTTTTTTAACGGATATGTCTATAGGTCATGTCTGCTTACTATCAAGCGGGCCATATTTGCACTGAGTGGGGGGCGGCTGGGTCATGGCGATGTCGGACGCGGCCTTGTAGGCCACGAGCGAGTTCTGTCAGTACCGCAGACGATAGAAACGGGTTAGAAGGGCCTTGTTGGCAGAGCGAATGCTCATAACTTGACCAAAACTTGTTCTGATTGCGTCGTTGCTCTCGGGTGTGAGCGCCGATTGGTTAAGATTGTTTGATTTCGCGTCGTTTGATTGGCTATTATCTATTAAGTGGAAGTGTAGTGGGGGAGAGCCGGCGACATCGGATTCCCGCAGAAACGGTATACGATCACCCTTCTAACCTCTGTGTTCTGTGGTCAGTACAGTGTATGTAGGGCCAGTATACGTACGGAGAAGTTGAGCGCGAGGCCGAGCCGGATGGGATGCGTGGGGGGCAGCTCGGTCATGGCGATGTCGGAGGCGGCCTTGTAGGCCACGAGCGAGTTCTCGGCGGCCTCCTTGCGGTCGTTGCCCGTCGCGAACTCTGCCAGGTACCGGTGGTAGTCACCCTGCGACAAAGAGACACTAGTCAACCGAGGTCATTGACCCTGAGAGAGAAGGACGATTATAGCTTTGTTAACATTATTTGACGAAAAGCAGATGAAGAACTTCCCTGTGGTTATCTTTGTATGATTCAACAACAAAATAATGATAATGAAGTCTGGACAACTCTTTTAACAATAATTAAGCAAAGTATGTTTTTTGGAAAAGTAATAACAGATAGAATACTTAAATGTCTAGTTACGAAAATAAACATGGTGAACACAGTTGGGAAGAAAATTTAAAAACACATTGCTTGTCCATCATTAATAAGAAGTAAAAAGTAAACCAGATTGTAGAACTACTCAAATAATTAAGGGAAGCATCCTGCGTGACACATAAAGTTGCTTAATCTCTACACAGAGTAAGTCAAGTGAGGCTAGCATGGTTGTGAAGTTACGTTCACAAGTGAACTCCACTCACACTTAAAATTAGATGGAATATAATCACATGCTTTGCCGTTTACAAAACAATTACAACTCAAGCTAAATAATGATTTAGCATAACTCAATTCGAATTTCTTACCCATATACAAATATTCAAGATTGCTAAGATTTTGCAATAGTAAAAATACCATTTGATGACAATAATGTAAGAGTCTCGTGTGAAATTTGTGACACATTCTGTGTATTAGTTTTGAACGGAATCCAGTATCAGTAACTTTTCCTATTCAAATAATAATATAATTCAATATCATTCATAACAACCGTGGCAACCGAGCGACAGCTAATATACATAATATAGTTACACAAAGTTTATAAATATTCCTCTCTTAATGATAATTCCAATGTTCAACATAACGATCAGGTAAACATTTGCTCTTTCTAAGTGAGATTCAAACTTACGACCGTGAGATTTTGATGTCATGTACAATGGTCACTATTCTTCGTAATAAGCAAAACAATACTTTCGTTCACTGTTTCATTAATTGTTTTCTTTATAAAAAGGAAAGCATACTTCTTTAAATATTTATTATTTGAGTGTGTTGGGCGTTACTGAAATACAAGTATTAATGATCAATACTTCCTTCTTCCTCATGTTACATAACTCAAGAAAATCGAACATTTTTGTAAGTAAATAAAATTTTAGTTCATGACAGCTTCCAATTAATTGAATTATATTATCTAATGCGATTATCACGGGCACATAGTTGAGTCAGGTAACGAAGCGCGCTACAAAAGCCTATGAGACAAGTCATTTGCATACTCAATGCTGCAAGTTAATTACAATATAAGTGAATAAATTAACGCACGTAGAACGGCGGGACTTTAATTCAATGAAACGAGACGACATATCCGTTCAAATCTTTTAAAAGATGAAAGTTTACAACCTTTGGACAAATAGAGGTAGAGTAAACAAAAACGAACAGCCGCACTCAGATATTTAGATTAAATTTAAGGCTTGTCCAGGTTACATTATCTTTTACTAATTAATATTTTTTTGTCTTATTCTTTTACTATTTGTTAAATTAGAAAATCAACTTAATGAGGCGATGACAATAAATAATAATAAATATGACTTATAATTGTTAGTTAAATCTAATCCCACATGTTAACAAAATTAAATGAAAAAATAACAAAACTACAAACGTTAACCAATAAACCAAAAAGGATATGGGGACCTTGCCTACTTCTCTGTCAGCGGTTCTTGATAATGGATCTTTTGTATGATCCTCCAAATTCTAATTATTCACTTGATTCAAGTTTGCTCGTTTAGGGACAGAGCTTTAATTGAGATTGCAATCAAAGTTGGTAATAAATTCATAAACGCTGACGCGATTGAAGAATCAGCATTATTTTATTATCAAAGTATTTAGCTTCAAGTAATAAATACAGAGGAGTCATTAAAATGCTTCCTTTTCCTTCATTGGCAACAATGTGGCAATTATGTTAAACTTTATGGAATTAGTAAATAACATTTTTAATAGTAAATACCCATAGAGTAACAGTATGTGTTGCTGACAATTCATTTTAAGACCTTGATTTTATATAAATACCCAATTTTTTACATTCGCGATATGATATATATCGTGTTTTTATCACGCTAAATTGTCAAATTACTATGACGTTTGAGTTAGACGCGATAACAAACGTGATAAAATATAAATTGTTGTGCTCTTGCCCAGGGGGACATTACAGTGTAGTCGAGTTGGTTACCTTCATTTTGTAGTAGAAGACTTTAGACTCGCCGGTCTGTGAGCTGGGGATGAGGTGTTTGTCGAGCACGCTGAGGATGTCTGAGCAGATGTCGCGCAGCTCCTTCTCCACCTGGCTGCGGTACGCTCGGATCATGTTCAGCTTGTCCTCTGCGCCCTGGAACACAAACGTACGTATAACGTAAGACGTGTCGCTTCGACTCGCCTCGCCCGTGCAACTTTTTGACGACGCAATCTACAAATTCTTTTGGATCTCGACGGTGGAAATGGTTAGCATATTCGGTTTAAGACTAACAGTTGAGCAACTTTTGCAATCTGCATAGGATAGGTCAACTAAAAATTTACTATCTTGAACTCTTTATTAAGGTTAAGCCGTAAGATCCGTCTGCATCTGAAAGTCTATCTCCCAATTCCATCCTTAGGAAGGCCCCATGTGTTGCAGAGCCTGTGCCAAGCAATGAGCATGAAGACATTAATAGCTTCGGAGCCGGCATCCATGATTTAGTATCCGTAGAATTATTGATTTTAAACTATCACCTACCATATTATATGTTATAGTTTTCTATGGCTAAATTCATCGCAATATGTACAACTACTTTCGCGTGAAATAACGTACTAGACAAAAGTTATACCACAAAAACTAACCTATCTTCCAAGTTGGACAAAATAACACATACTGTGTGTTCAATTTCATCAAGATCGGTTAAGTAGAGTCTATTCAGGAGAAACGAGCGCTAAAACGTTATAGTATGCTATAAATACAGACGTACGTAAAAATAAATTCCCGCGTGTCACAACGGCTTATTCAAATGAAATCAATTTATCTCATATCATTTCGTCTATTTTTATATGCTGAGACAAAACATTTCTATTCTGAGAATATGGAATGTCTATTCTCAATGTTCACGTAATTAAGCGTGGTAAATTCTATACAAAAACTGAAAGGATCGAAAATCGATTATTGTAATTTGTATTGCGCCAATTTAATTATACCATTTATACTTTCGAGTATTGCCACAAGCAGTTACATAGGTCCAATAGGTAATCGCTGTTTAATGAATGACTCATTGGTGTGATGTTATTTGTATATCTGACTGCAGCATTGTTCAAAAATCATTACCAATGATAAGATACCGAGGCACCAAAACTTATTTGTCAATTAACTCGAGACCTCGCATCGCAACGCAAGGAAAAAATAATACGATCAGAATTTTTATTACGAACCCTGTTACATATTTCACTATCGACCTTATTATTAATGCATTATTCATGGGAGTAGTTTTCTCCGTAGTTCCTACTGTTGCGTTTAATATTATCCCTCTATTAATATTAAAATAAATGAATATAAAACGATCTGGAGCTGCGTAGATACATTCGCTTATAGTAATAGTGAAAATTTTTAAATGTGCCTGTTACATGTACCTATATATTTTTATTGATTTAAGATAATATTGCAATTCTATGTATAATTTTGACAGTTTGAGTAGTTGCTATGAAATGTAATTTATGATACTTTTAGAGTAAATTTATTATAATTTTATGTTGCTTACATTTAATTACTATATTGTACACCCGAAATGCAAGCTGTTGGCACTACCTAATTTTAAGAATCATTTGTACACAGTTCTGCAATTGAATCGTTCACTCACAGCATTTGTTAACCATACCTTGAATTTTTGACGACTGAAGACTTGGGTTGATAAAGTTATGGCTTTCGACCATAGTGTTGCTATGGCTTTGACTAAGGCAATCGAGTCCCAGTACAATAAATGATTATCTTATCATATTACGTACGTACGTATACTATACGTATTACTTCATTGTCAGTGCAATGATCGAAATAGCTTAGTTCAAACACGTACTAATAGAACATCGTATTGTGTTGAAAAGCGACATAATAGTTGTATGAAGCGCGTCAATTGTCTGGTTGCATTTTTAAATGGGTCACTAGGTGCAGGTTTATTGATACAGTGGGCCTTCAATCAAACCGCTCACACACAAGCACAAAAGATTAAATGGGACACCAACAAAGGTAGACGGCGTAGTATAAATAAAATAGCTTTTATAGAAGAAATTTCTAAAAACGGTCGACCAATAAACCCAAAGTAACAAACCACTTTATTTTCTTCGTTTATCAGGTAGATTATCAAAAAGTATTGGACACGTATTTTTTCTTTTTTTAACATAATATAAACATTGCAGAGATATATTAATTTGAAAAGTCGTAAAGTACATTTATATGTGAAAATTCACTCAAAAGTGACGTCACGAGCCCCTACTCCCAAACTTTGACGCTCTATAACTTTGTCATTTTTTGGTTGATTGCCCAAAGAAAAAATACGTGTCCATTATTTTTTGATCATCTAACTGACGGACTAAATAGAATTTCGTTTATTGTACCCCGTCATCACCCCTATTTCATTTTGTAACATTTGCAATATTCAAGGTATCTTTGACGCGCTATAACTTCGTCATTTTTTGGTTGATTGCCCAAAGAAAAAATACGTGTCCATTATTTTTTGATCATCTAACTGACGGACTAAATAGAATTTCGTTTATTGTACCCCGTCATCACCCCTATTTCATTACAAAATGAAAAATTTGCAATATTCAAGCAAGGCAGTGTTGCGAAATATTAGCAGACGCCTTCATAGTTACGGTGGTATGATGAAGTAATATTAGTATTTTATTGTGCTCCAAAAATGGCGCATCTATGCACCGTTAGTCAACCGTCATGATGATTCAGGCATGCTCGCGTGCGGCATCCTATGTGCCCCACTCACAATACTTTATTAATGCGCGTATAAATAGGAGTACTCGATGAGGCACCCCTTACACCTAAATATAACTTATTATCCACAATCTTATTTAAATTTCATGTTATTAAATTTTATGACTTTTATACTATTTTTAAAATTGAATATGATATTGATATATGGTAACGGCGTTCGTATCTAATGTGTACATAATAAGTTTCTATAATAGGGATGACTAATTTTTTCTTCTTCGTTTATCAAAAAGTATTGGACACTTATTTTATATAAACATTGCGGAGATATATTCATTTGAAAAGTCGCATGACGTCACGTTTTGGTACACTTTTATGTGAAAATTCACTAAAAAGTGACGTCACGAGCCCCTACTCCCAAACTTTGACGCGCTATAACTTTGTAATTTTTTGGTTGATTGCCCAAAGAAAAAATACGTGCCCATTATTTTTTGATCATATAACTGACGGACTAAATAGAATTTCGTTTACTGTACCCCGTCATCACCCCTATTGGCCTTAAGATTGTATTTATATTTTACTAGCTGTGCCCCGCGTTTGTGTTCTGTGTTCCCGCAGTAAAACGTAGCCTAGTGTTCATCCAGGATGTCGGATAACTCCATACCAAACTTTATTCAGCCCAGCTCCAGCCGTTTAGACGTGAAGAAGTAACAAACATACACACTCACCTTTATTATACAAAATCGCCGTAGAAACTTTGTTAAAGATAAATAAATAAATTAAGTGAATCGTATCACAAGTATCTAGTGAGATCGCACGGTAACCAGAATTAGTGGAAGTAACTACGTCAAGTCGGCACGCGTGCTTATCTCTGCAAACATTCCTATGACACGCTCGCAAGATAGGTATCTGCTGTTGACCGTTGCTTAGAGTCATCCTATGTCCACATGAACATCCGACGGTTTAAAGTCGTCGCAGATAACTGAACCACAGCTTTGAATGTAAAATCTTGGATGAATGAATAAAAATTACTAAGGCCCGTATTATAGAAAGATTCTCAGTGATTGATCTAGTCTTGAGCATAGTAAGAAAGGGATGTCACTATATATAGCACATAGCGATATCCCTTTCTAACTGTACTCAAGTAAAGATCAACACTTAGTTGTCAGTCTGTGATAGGGACGTAAGACTTCTATATTATTGTTGTGATATACAAACTATGTTCACGTCCACCTGTTTACAATTTGTTGGTTGTTTTAAAATTCATGTTTTATCTGATGCCGCTTCCTATATCTAATATATAAAATTCTCGTGTCACAATGTTTGTCCTCAATGGACTCCTAAACCACTGAACCGATTATAATAAAATTCGCACACCATGTGCAGTTCGATCCAACTTGAGAGATAGGATAGTTTAAATCTCAAATTATAGTCGCAATTTTAATTTATTGCAAATTATTACTTTTGGGCGGTACGAAGTTCGCCGAGTCAGCTAGTCTAATATATAAAATTCTCGTGTTGCGGTGTTTGTGGTTAAACTCCTCCGAAACGGCTTTCCCGATTCTCATGAAATTTTGTGTGCATAATGGGTAGGTCTGAGAATCGGACAACATCTATTTTTCATCCCCCTAAATGTTAAGGGTAATCCAACATTAATTTTTTTTTTCATTTTAGATTTTTTTTTATATTTTTATGATACATCGTACAAAAATACATACATCCCTATATTTTCAACTTTCCACAACCAACCCCTATTTTTTTATGGCGGTACGAAGTTCGCTGGGTCAGCTAGTCTTATATATAAAATTCTCGTGTCACAATGTTAATTACCATACTCCTCCGAAACGGCTTGACCGATTTTTATGAAATTTTAAATGCATATTCAGTAGGTCTGAGAATTGGCTGCTATCTATTTTTCATACACCTAAGTGATAAGGGGTGTCGACCCCTATAATTTATTTTGATTTTATGGACACAATTTTTTTCTTTTATGTTTTAATAATGTGGCATTAAAAAATACATACAACCCCAAATTATCACGCTTCTATCACTTAACCCATATTTTTAAAGAAATTCCCTAGAAATAATTTATATGGCAAAACAACATTTGCCAGGTCAGCTAGTACTAAATATAAAGTTATCTACCAAAAATATTTTAACTATTTATCTATATTCTAAATGATGTAATGGTAGGTGAATTCAGAAGTATCTCTTTAGTCATTTTTCAATTAGTAGTCAAATTGTAATAACAATACAGGGAGAAAAAACAGCCCTTGCCGAGTTCCTTGTCGGTTCTTCTCAGTACAAGGCCGTAGTTTTGCGAACCGATGGCGTAGCTTCTTGACCTTCACAAGTGCTTGTAACAGCCTAGACTGAATAAACGATTTTTTTTATTTTGATTGTTAATATCATGCATTCCTACCTATAGCTTACCTATTAATATACGAATTAATTTTACGTTTGCCGTGATTGCGTACTATTTAGACTTATTTCTTTCCTACACTTTATTAGATCATAATAAGTAATCATACTATAACTGAGTACAAATATTTATGAAGCTGTGTTCGTATATAAACCAGTTTAAAGTGATCAAAAAGGACAAATTTAGTGCTACACTACACGAAAGGCAATTTAATACGAAAAGACAATGTAAAAAAGGCTTTTGTCTAAAACCACATTCACCTTGCGTTTAGTCTACAAACTGTGTACCACGCTAAAAAACTAGGTAGTAATTTAAATTATAAGGAATTATCCCATAAGGATAATTAATAAATAGAATATGGTTGAGACTCTGGTATTTTATTGTGAATAATTTATGTGTCATAGTTGTAGCAATTCTTGTCTTGAAATTATAATAACTTTTAAAATAATTAAAAAGATAATTATACAACTCCATAAAGTCAACCACGTCAAAAAACCTACATGTTTTTGAGAGATGAAAAAAACTTATTACAAACTGTGTTCACAATTGAAAACATAAAAAAGTAACAGTCCTCTAGAAGACAGACACAAAAAATACTGCATCTGGTGTACTGTACAGTCACGTCCAAATGTGAATCGAAAATAATTATTCTTTTTTGCTGGCATTCCCGCCGTGCTCGTGTAGTCGGTCTCGTAGCAGTTTCGCGAGAAAAGTAGACTATGGGACAACGTGTACTACGTACTTAGGTTATTAGTCTAATATTTTGTACGACCACGCCCTTATTCGTCATATTAATACGCCATAACAAGCAGGTGTGTAGCCTGCACTAATATCGAAAATGAGAATTTGTAAAACCAAGCAGATTAGAAGCGTAGGCAATAACAGTAATCGATGCACGCCCGTAAACAAGTGATTTAGCGATCGATATTATGCAAATAAAATGACCTAGAAGCGGTTTTGACCGCGGCCATCACTCCGCGACCTCTATGCCAACACCAGCGGAACAATTAGCACCAGACTGAACGTAATGAAGGTTTAATGAGCATACCAATATCTTAATTACGCCCATTACATTTTAACTAACCAACGTCTAATACATTTTGAAGCACTCATATTTTTGAGGGTTAATGAGAAAATATTATACTACGTTAGAGTGAGAATTTCGAAATCACGTCGTAGTACCCAGATGCGTCACCACTGTTCGACCTAGATAACAACGTCAGTCGAAGTTCATTGGAAATTACTAATCAGATATGTATAATTCTTACATTATACGCCTTAAGATACTTTTTACCTTATATTTGGATCATTCGAAAAGTTCATACTTATTATTCACAATAGGGGTGATGACGGGGTACAGTAAACGAAATTATATTAAGTCCGTCAGTTAGATGATCAAAAAATAATGGACACGTATTTTTTCTTTGGGCAATCAACCATAAAATGACAAAGATATAGCGCGTCAAAGTTTGGGAGTAGGGGCTAGTGACGTCATTTTTTAGTGAATATTCGCTTAAAAGTGTACTCAAACGTGACGTCATGCGACTTTTCAAATCAATATATCTCTGCAATGTTTATATTATGTGAAAAAAGAAAAAATATCCAATACTTTTTGACCTGATAAACGAAAAAAAAATATTCATCATCGCTATTGTTTCTATTCTGGTGGTTTGTTTGTTAGTTTTAAGGTATAAAATTCCAGCACACCTAGGAATGTAGTACACTAGTTGTAACCATTCACGCGAGGATTTAATTTTCAATAAGAACCCGCCCTTGATGTGTTTTGTGTAAAGGCAAAAAGCTACGTAAAGGTGGTTGCTCAATAGCGGCGAGCGGCGGAGCCACCGCCGCCGCTGACTCATTTACTCCCATTTCAGTAACACGGTGAATTAGGTCCATCACCTTTTTGTCCGTGTCGTCGCAATAAACGCAAAAACAGTTTTGATCGTTTTAACTGTCCGCGGATTACATGCCGTTTTTAAATAGGGAAATCTCAGCTGCACAATGAAGACGGAATGGGGAAAAGAGACGAGATGCACATCTGTGAAATCGAATAGCGTCTTTCACTTGGGAAAAAATAATGAACTCAATTGAGCGCCAAGGATGTCGCTGTCACCAGATATTTTAAGACAATATTTTAGACTGCTGAATAAAAGAAATTTAAAAAATATATAAATATTCTTCATTAATCAATAGGAAATGGGTATTGCTGCACTGTAAGAAGGCGTCAAGTGGACATTCTGTTGACTCTTGTCAGCACTGGACACATAATGACGAATTTGAAATTGGAATTATGGTCAGTTAACATGTAACTTTCGCTGACTTTGCGTCATCAACACTAATAGCTTAATTTTAAAACTTTGTAGTGAATCAACAACTGTAGGAAGTTTGTGGAAAGCCTTTTTTATTAAAGTTTCCATCACCCCTCCACAATGGTTCAGGTCAAATCTGTAATACATTCAAGCAAGATTCTTTGTCTTTTAGTAGTCACTATTAGCTTCTAATTCATTGCTTTTTGGTATAAAAGTTCTGATTTTAATATTATTGTGTTCTGTTTATTGATTATGCTTATAAATTACGAACAACACATATCAAGTCAATACAAAATGATGATTTTTTCGGTATAGTAGATTCACAGTAATATGGACTCTAAGCATCTGTATTTAAGATTGTCAAACTGGAATCAACGTTCTACAGGTTAAATCTAATTTTAGTTGAATCAATATTTGGCAAATTTTTTGCAAGTGGGCTTAGACAATTTAGCCCATACAATAATGTCAAATCGACATTGACGTTTTGTCATTTTTTAATGGGTTAGAGCTAGTTTGAGCTGAATCGAGGTTTAGCAAATTTGCTGCAGGTGGGCCTAAAAGGAATAATTTTAAAAATAAGCTAAAGTACTTGAAACATTTTTGTTTTATATTTTATCCAAAAACCTAAATACCAATACATTTTGTTTTTTTCTAATTGGTACTGGCCTTGGTATTCTATTCAACTTTTACAAATTATTTTTTCTTGCGATTGTTCTTTTTAAACATAGAAAATACCAAAATATACATTAGGCTATTTTGGCAATTAAATTATATCATTTTCAGCTTTAAAGTATATTGTGGTGCACATGTCATGCTACAAGGTCAGAGATCTTGTATGCTAAAACTAATAACCAAGCTTAGTCAGTTTACACCACTTTGTAAGGTAGTGCTGTATAAAGAGAATTTAATAAACAAATCAAGAGATACAATATTTTACTGTTTTTTTACCCGAATTTTAAGTTTATTGTAGTGCATATTTTAGCCTGTAAAATATAATATCTATAATGCAATGTGCAATATTAAAAGTTTATTGAGAAAAATGGAGTTTTAGACTAATATATTATTTAAAACCTCTATTGTGATGATTTACCCCCTACTATTAAAATTGAAAGATCTTTGAAACTGTTGTTGCAAACTAAAATGTTGTTTAAAATTAATAAACATCTTTCAAATGTCAAGATAACAACAATTGTGATCAATGTGCAGTGGGCAGCTTCAAGTCATAATCTCATTCTCATGTCATTTTATTACAAATTATATTTAGTAACAAAACTGGGCTAACAATTAATTAAAATAGATATAAGTAGTTTAGGGCCACTTGCAGGAATTTCGCTAAATCTCAATTTAACTTAAGTAAGATTCATTCATTCATTCATTCAGATGTCCAATTGACATTGACATTGTTCTATGAATGACATCTAGTTTAAGTTGAATCGAGACTTGGAAACTTTCAGCTTGCAGCAATTTTGCTAAATCTGAATTCAACTAAAATTAGATTGACAGTTTTCTATGAGATAGATCTAGTTTTATTTAAAATTGAGATTTAGCAAATTTGCTGCATGTGTGCCTTATGGACCATCTATGAATAAACTTTCTTTAAAAACATTAACTTTTCTATTGGAAATAATGCCCCCAATTTTGTTCAAAGTGGTATAACTGAATAGGTTTACATACTTTTGTTTCTTCTTTCTGTTCAATTGAAGATATGATCCTCCATGAAGCTCTGCGGGCACCTATGACATTCTTGTATGCAACGGATAGAAGATTTCTCTCCTCAACTGTTAGTTCATTGTCGGATACATTGCGTGATGCAACATTCTTCATCGCCTCCACCATTTCTGTAATGTCATACACCACTAGTTTTATACACTGCAATAAATGTACCTTTCCTTGATTATAATATGACATCAATTCAAACAAGCTATTTTCATCTCTTTTCTTCAAAACTAGTCCTAGGTACTGGCACCTGCCTGGACTTTTTTAATTGATACTTATGAAAAGCATTATAAAATACCAGAGGATATTGGTGTTTCGTCATCCAGGCCAGACATATTCCCCTATTCTAGGCACATCAATCATATAGTACTAATAGACCTTACTGTACTATGGGAGACTAATATTCCAAAAGAAATGGCTATCTAGTTAATTTATATGCCGTAGAAATAGGAGCGAGAGCTATACCTGCAAAATCTCTCTATAACCTTCTAAAAGACCTAGGCTTGTCGAGAACTGCAGTAAGTTCAATTTTGGAACAACTAAGGCTGCACTAATAGACTCCTCCTTAAACCTACACCTGGTTAAGTCCTAGGAACTGCTCAGTGTCTCCTCTCCCACATGATGGACGCGGCACCCGCACCGTGAATCCATGGATTGCTAAGAAGTTTGTCTCTCTCTGAAAACCGTCTTGCACAATTCTATCCTTCAAATGAATGTTTAAACTATTTCTGGCTACAAATATCACTGTTCATTGCCATCAATGTTATTAATTCCTGAAAAGGAACTCAATACTCTATATTACATAGAGATAAGCAAAATATTACATTTATAGAATGATTTGGGTATTTGTGCAGGATTTACAAACTAATTCATAAGTATTTCGTTATAAAAACCTGGACTACACCAAGCATTCTTTCATCAACAGGCTACATAGCTTAAGATTTAATAATTACTTTGTTTTAGTCATCTAAATCAAGCTTCATTTTAAAATTACCACCTCAGCCCCCCCATCAAGCACATCATGAGCATATACAACACATTTTTATCACGCTCAATCGTCAAATTACTATGGAGTTTGACAGTTAGGCATGATAAAAATTGTGATATAATGTAAATTGTGGTGCTCATACTACAGGGACTGAATTATTAAATCTAATGCTATTTTTGTTTCCTGTTTAATAAATAATATGTATACTGCATACATATAAGAGTCAAAATAGAAAAAAATGTGTGCTCATCTCTATTCTCCAATAAGGATCATTTATCATAAATAACTTGCAAACGTAAAAATAGTACTACCAATGTAAGGTGTACTCTTATCAATTAGGTATATATATCATCCCACTACTTGCACTTGAAATAAGGTCAATGAACCACCACCATCAGAAATAACATGAAATGCCTATTATTACTAACAGCACACGTCTCGTGAAAGCAAGTATCCCACTTTGTGTGACAAATAATGATAACACATACAATGAATGCATCTCAATTTCAAAAGATGAAAGAGATAATACGATAGGTTCACAGGTAGGTTCCCGTGCTGCTAACTAGCGAACAATAGGTGAGAAGAGTTCGTGGGGCGACAAAGCTACGAGAATTTGTGCTTCCTAAAATGCCTGGAATGTTCCACAATCTCCAATAAACGGATTCGTCTAAGTTATGACATGCATGAACGAGCTCAATGACATCGATCGCAATTTTATTTCTATGAGATGAAAATTTTTGGTAATAAAAATTTCTACATGGAAATCACGGTATTTGTCAAGGAAGTGTCAACTTGGCCACTTTCGGATATAATTCAAGAAATTTTAGATGCTAGGAGGGTTTAACCATACAGTACCAGACATTTAATATCCTGAACCTATCTAAAAAACGTAAAGGGCATCCCACCGGCGGATGACGCATCGATCGCTGACCAAGCCTAACGAATGCCATTGATTCGTTACTTGGCTAATAATGTGCAAAGAAATGAATGCATTAGATACGTTTTTCTATAGAAATGGGTCAAGTGAAAGGTAAACTAGTTAATTCCATCGAGAATTTTCTCAGACTATCACCAAATCGTCTTTCAACTGTCGGCGAAAATGGGAAAGAATTTTCCTCCTAACACTAAAGATAAAACAAAAATATGTACTCACCATCATAGCGCTCAGCCTGCTCGGCTAGCTTTGCTTTGTACACATTATCTTCCCTTTCCGACATTGTGGATGACAAATGATTTTTCACTAACTAAAACCGAATCGCCAGGTCACTAATTCACCAAGATGGCCGCGCCCGCCAACCGAATCCAAATTCGATCTTCAACTAAACTCCGCCCATGACGTCATAGATTTTTAAAAATGGCAACTTCTTCCGCTGTGATAATATTGCCACATTATGATAAAATTAATTTATATTTTCTACTAAAAAAACAAAACATTACTCTTAAGTATTTTAAAAAACTATTGCCTAATACTTGAAATATTATTATTCTTATGAAAAAAATCAAGACAATAAAAAAATCTACTATTTATGCCTCAATATCTCTTCTAGTACATCTTACAACAAACTTTTATAGGTACACATCTTCATTACGTAGGTACCTTAATTCTTTTTTAAGCTGAATAAAATCATCTTTATCTGCAAAACAAAATAACTATACACTGTGATGAGGCTTTATGGACCTAGCATCCATTGTAATCAAAAAGGAAAACTTATAACAATCATATTTCTTTTTTTAATTGTATACCATATTATAAAAAACCTACTATTTTAGCAGTTTCAATGAATTAAATTCTTACCTTAAAACAGATTATAAAAAAATAGAGGAAGTTATATATCTAACTATAACAGGAATACTAAATGATGCGTTATGTGCGTTTTTAATTTTAATTAAGACAGTATTATTAAAAATAAAGATATAAAAAAAGGCATTTGGTGGTATTTCACTAAAGCATGCTCCAGATTCGTGCCAAGACTTCGTCAATATTGTCGAATACGAGATTGTACACAAAGTGAATTAAGATTGGTCTATATTGGTGTTGCCATTTGAGTATCTATAAAGGGAGACGCCATTACTGGCATTTCCCTTTTGTCAAAAGGTACAAGAACATTGTTCTAGTAAAAACTAGTTCACGCGCGACCGCTATCATTTTGGATCGTTTCATATCGCGAGTTGAAGCTCCCACAAAAATCGAAAATGATGTTGTTTTCTCATGTAAAACCCATCTGCCACTTCAATCCTGCTGAAACATGGTGTTTCCTATTACCATTAATTACTATAAAGTTGGTATTCTGATATCAAATTCAATTAAAAGAAAAAGGCGCGGAATGACGAATGAATGACAAAAATAATAATGTCCGTCATGCTAGCGAACTAGATGTAGTGTACTGTACCACATCTGCCTTAAAGCCCTGCGCATATTAACAAATACTATAGAAACTCTACGACTAAAACTCTGGTTCTATAGTATTTGATATTAACGTGCCGTGACACGCCAGAAGCATATCGGTTATAATACATTAACTATGGTTAGTAGTTACATATATTGACGTGTCGTTTCGTGTGGACGCTCTAACTTCTCTCTTTCTAACTCATAATAAATGTATGAAACCGGCGCGCCACGCCACTCCACGTTAATATGCATAGGGGGGCAATCGCCTAAAGGGATTGCTATGGCTATGGCCATTGCTTACGATTTCATTTTGTTATTTCTGACCGCCGAAGTTTTTCAAATGCGCTCTTTTTTTTCTTTTGTACTGGTAACAACAATATCAAAGAAAATGAACGTAAGGTATTTGAAAACCTTCGGCGCTGGCGCGGTGGTCAGAAATAACAAAATAAAATCGTAAGCTATAGCTTTCGTCATAGCAATTCATTTAGGCTTGACCCCCAGGACTTAATACTTGGCCCATGCTTTGTGATCTGATTCAGCGTATTATTCTGCAGTCTTCGGTCTATAAACAATGATGCGTTATGTTTGCCACTACCTCTGAATAAGTATCATATGGAAATGACACGATAACATTAATATACAAAACATAGAAATTACAAGAATAGTGTTGTCTCCTTTTCACATTTATATTGATGCATATGAAAAAGACACCAGCACCCTATTTCGCAATATCCACTACAGTAGTGACAATCTATATCTATTAGATAATTATGCTCGTGTCGCCATTTTAGCTCCCCATAAGTAGTCTGTTGTTCCCTAGTTTGTTTACAAATAAACTCAAAGTTGTCGACGTGATTCTTATTGGAGGAATTTAAAAACGAAAAAATAATTAAATTTAGGATTTAAACATAAATATGAAGAGTTCTGTAATTGATTGTAGCCTGTGTCAAAACAAAAATAGACCTAACCTAAGTTTTCACAGGTAAGTAACCAATTTAACAAGAAATTGCTATTTTTACAAGATGTTTATCATAAAACTATATTTAAAATACAGTTTAAGAAACCAAAGGCTACAGGAATCAAAGCCTGTTTCCTTTCAATGAATTTTCATAATTATGTAGTTTACAATAGTAATCTAGCAGCGCTAGTGTTGTACCCTCCCCCTCATCGATCTTGGTCTTATCGATATTTAATTTCCCTTTTTTTTAGTTTACCTCGAACAGTATTAATAACTCGCAACAGTGTATTAACCCTATCGATTAATTCAATTTCTGAAAAACAATAAACTAACCAAACTTTGACTTTCCTTAAATAAAATCTAATAGAATAGAGATTACAAATTTGTTACTCTAAGATATTCCGAATGAAAATTATGATAAAACATTGCTTATCTAAATTTTTTCAATTTTTCTTGTCAGTCCACTATAGCCAAATTAAGTAACTTAAGCACAAGACCTGTACTAATGGATACACATAATATTCTTGAAATGGTAAGTGAAGTATTCTATTTATATTTCGATTGTTGCATGTGTATATTTAATAATTTCTAGTGAAAGTATTCACTGGATGCTAAGTTTTATATTTTATAGTTTTTTCAAAATTATTAAAAATACACATGCAACAATCGATAGTATATATCCATAATACAATACAATTTACAATTTTGTCCGTTTATAGTGACCGACATAGTTCTTTACACCTTCGGTAATGTTCGTTGATTCCCGACAACGTTCGGCACGTGGCTCGTTTTTGTTTTGAATCTCAGTGAGTAATTTACATTTCAACATCACGCATTGTTTTTAGTGATATCCTATGTAATAAAATGTCATCTCAACGTCGTAAAGCATTTACGACTGAGGAAAAAGGTGCAATAATATCATCATGATCAACAGCCTATCTTAGTCCACTGTTGGACATAGGCCTCTCCAAATGCACGACACTCAGATCGATCTTGGGCTACTCTACTACTACATTGGCAATAATATGCTGATTAGAAAATGGAGAATCAAACTCATCTCACAATCTTTTTTCAGAAAAATGCTTTGTATGAGGTCCGCTTAGTATGACGTGTTTGTCGATTCCCTTCGAAGTCATAATAAACGGATTGTACTGTATAGACTTCTGGGTCTCAAAAAACTCTTATTCACTAGATATAGTTTTAATATTTCATAGTTTTTATAAAAATTATGAAATTTACACATGCAATTACCACAGCTCTTTGGCGGACTGGGCCTGCACCCGAAATACCTTGCTACATTTTCCATACATCCTGAAAAGGATGCGAAGCGTCAAAAATACAGTAAAAAAGTATTAAAAATATGTAATACTCGTTCAAAACTTGTTTCATTTAATGAGTGGTGTGCGGGAAAACTTAGAAACAAATATATTTTGTTTTGTTTTTTGTTTCAGGTCTGTCAACCATCCTACTCAAATAAATCTCATGCATCCGTATATACTTAGACTGACCTTGAAATGGTTAGCTGTTTTGTCATTATTATTATTATAATATACACACAAAAACTACCTCACGAGTGATAAAACCGCCTGGCCGTAATTATTACCTTTAGCAAATTTTTGAAGTTATATTAAGCTTGACTCCTCAAAAGGAGTATTGAAGTGAACCTTGGACATTGTGTCTTTTATATACTTGCTCATTTATTTTGAAAATTGTTAGCTGGATATTTCGTGGCTTTTGTATATTTATTGTTTTCTATTTAACATTATGTTATGGAAGTTGACCTCAATAAATGTGTATAATTTTGATGTTAGCTTTTAATTTAACGACACTGTATGAAATAAAACAGGGAGAAAAAAGCAGCCTATGTTTCTTGCCGGTTCTTCTCAGTATACAAGGTCTCCGTAGATTTGCGAACCGACGGCGTAGCTTTCGACTTTCATATGTGCTTGTAAAAGCCTAAACGGAATAAATGAATTTTGAATTTTAACATCTGAAATATATGTTTATATTTAAAACTTTAATTTTGAATAATATATCATCGATATGCCCTTGAGCTACTTTTAGTTTAATATTGTAATAATGATTCAGTAAAGTTACTAAGCACCAGCCTTTATCATAATGTGCACATGCAAACGAATAACTTATTGTTGTCCTTGTTTTTAATAACAGTAGTAGAATTTAACTTACGTTGAATAAAATTATCTTCGATTGTCTCCAAAATTCAAATAGATTCTTCTCTCCCTTCTCCAGTATATTTATGTGAGCCTATATGCTTTAACCACAGCAAATAAAACATAACATCGATAAAAAGTATCGACTAAAGACATCCTACGTCCGCCATGTTTGCTCACCGATTTGTTTATATAGGTAAACACGCGAAGAAAATACTATACAAACTCTACGAGATAATGCGCACAGCTCTTGACGTTTCTCAAACGACTTGGCAAACTCTAAATAGCGCCATCTGTTGGCATGAGGCAACTTGAAAATAGAGTTTTTGATTTAGTTTTGTTACCAAAATACACAACATAATGATGAATATCCACTTTTTATGGACTCTATAAACATTAATAAATAATGTGAGATCGTTTTCTAAAACTTGTCAAATACCCTATTCACCCAAAGCTGCATTACTCTCAAATTACTCTGGTTCTATCTCTGGTTGCTTTCCAATTACAGAGCATAAGGGTGCGGCCAGAGGGCACTCAGATTCACATTCAGATTCCGAAAACAAGCGCGAGAAATAAACAGTGTAATCTAAGCAGGTTTCCTGCTTTTTCTCGCGCTTGTTTTCGGAATCTGAATCTGAATCTGAGTGCACTCTGGCCGTACCCTAATGCGACTCAGTGCCGCACAATGCCGAATTATGCTGATGCTTAATTGGAACGTGAATTAGTTTTCAAATGCACCAGCAGAGTGCGCTAAGTTCAGTGTTGAAAATAAAAGTCAATGTTTGTACCTTCATCCATATTAATATTTAATTTTTAACACAGTTTGAATTAACTTTGATTGATTATTTAAAAAAAAACTATGATGAAACGAAAGTTTTAATAATTTTTCAACAATAAATAATATTACTAATGATAACATTTAAATAAAACATTTCGATCAATGCCAACTTAAAGAAAAAACACTTGATAATTTTCTGTCTCTAAGTTGGTACGATTGCACGTATCGCACGAAAGCATAATGCTGTAATTGGAAAGCTACCTTTGATTATGGAATGGTTCTATAGTTATTTGCGCGAAGTACATGCTTGTGTCATTTCCATGATATGTCAGAGGCCACTTGACAGCTTCTATTTAATTTATGACAGCCCTGTAAAGAAGTATTTTCAGTGTGATGTCATATAAATTCATTTCTTTTTAAATCGATTAATATAAACAATTTTTTCACCGAACAGTACCCTTAGCACGAACCAATATCGAATCCGTAACGTTTGCGAGGCCGAAATGTCATTATCAAATGTGTACTGATTTTTAGTTCTCGTTACGTACTTTGTGGCGCTGCTGTTCAAGTTTCCATATAAAATTTGACATTGACATTTCGCACTCGCGAAATATTCGAATTCGATAATGGTTCGTGCTAGGGGTACTGTATTCGTATGTCGAAGGAGTTCACCAATAATGATCCAAATGATGTATTGAAGCAAACTTTACGAAAATAATAAACCCGTATTACCTTGAGTATCCCTGAGCAATAAACCAGTATATTATTTTTTTACGATTTGAGAGATAAAGAGAGTGATGAGGATTCTGGCATGATTCTCTTAATCTAACATTAAAGACAGCAGTGTTTTGCCTTGTCATTTTGTGAACAGAATGAAAAGAAGAGACTGATGTTAAAGGAGATTGCTCAGCTTCCATACATGTTTGGCCTAAAGACCAATAATCATGAAAAATTGATTTCTAGATTCGAAATTATATATAAATTACTGTAGAAACGCTTATTATTGACGGACACCCCTGAGAACTCCTAGGGATGTGCGATCCGGGTCGTCGATCCGATTTTTCGGATCGTAATGGATCGTAATGCCATGATCCGATCCGCGGATTGGATCGCATGCCGTCGATCCGTTTTTCAAGAAATCAGATCGGATCGGATACAAATAAGTAAGACAATTAATTTTAGATTTTTATTTGGTAAACCCTTCAAAGTATGTCAAACTTGTGAGCAAACAAGATTATTCTATGTAAAACTTATAAATAAACAAGTTCTTAGTTTTGAAAGAAACACAATTTGAAATAGTAATTTAAGTACACAGAGAACTTAAAAAATATTTACTAGGTATTTATGAAAAATTTAGACTTCGAAGAAATGCACCCAACTACTTACTAATAGTTAACGTACAATTGAATCAGTCATTTCAAAAACCTCTTAAGTCACACTAATAGAGCTTTTCATGAACTTATAAAAACTTGTTCATGCTCAAACAATCGAGTTTAATAGAACTATTTTACGCTTACTTTGGTATTTCAGTTGTAAAAAATTCAAATATCTAATAACTTTTACTGTTCATACATAATAATAATGGAAAAATCAAGAATATTTATTCTTGACTTATGTTGTTTTTCCAAGAAATAGGTGACTTATGTGGTTTTAGCAAGAAATAGATTTAGTAGTATATATATAAATTTACCCACAACTTTTATTTATAATAATAGTATGTATAAGATTAACGGATCCACCTGCAAGGAATGCCGCCAAGTTAAAATGTAAACAAAGATAATGTTCGTAACAGAAACCTTAGTAAGTACCTACCCAACTTATTGCAAACAAACCGCGTTTTAATTCATACGATCCAAGCGATCCGATCTTTCAAGTTTTGTAACGATCCGGCAAAAAATCGTATGACCTCGATCCGATGTTTCAAAGGATCGGATCGGATCGGCGCATCCCTAAGAACCATTATACCATATACACTGAACATATTAAAATAATAAAAAACAAATAAGTTATATAGTAAGCTAGGGAAATCAAGCCAAGTACCGAAATTATGGGTTAGATTCAGGTATATAGAGCATTTAGATTAACAGATAGTTGCCTGTTTTCTGTGACAGAATCTGTGTGATGATTGTGAATGAGTCACAGATTAGAGAGAATTTTTAAACTCTCATTAACCAAAGAAAGCTAAGAGATTTAGGTTCTATAGCCATATATTCAGCAGCTTCATTATTTTTGTTATGTTTTTAAGATAACCTTATTTTGGATTTTTAGTGTACCACAGCTTATAATTTTATTTATTTATTTATTTATAGTCAGGGAACGTAGGCCCATAGATAGATACCTTAAAGTGTAACATACATACAGATTATAATGTGTTTATGGAGGTGTTTGGCGAAAAATGTAGGCAATAGACTTTATGATGTCGCCTACCATCTATAATAATTGTCTGAGCACATTTGCATCTTGTAAAATGATAATACAGTTGTGGATATTAATACCACAGTGTAATAAAAAAATGATTTATTTTATCGATCTTCACAAAATAGATTTGTTTTTATGTTATATAAACATCTTCCATCAGTCTTTGGCTGGATGTCCTTTTTAAAGTAAATATATTATACAAAGGTGTCCGTTGAAATCTAATGACTGTAAATTAAATTATAAATTACGCCAAGAATTACCGTCTATGTCAATATTTTTTGTGCATTTGGGCCAATTTGAGCAATCTCCTTTACTTTTAAGTTTAGAGATTCCAGAGCGAATACTAATGCTTTAGTTTCCAAAGAATACAAATAATCGCTTATGAACTTAATGAAAACATCTTCGATGCTCAAAAACTCCAACTTGACCCGTCATTCGTAGGTGTGTGCACGTGAATAAATGCTACACACTCTGTGCCGTCAATGACCTATTGGAGGCCCTGGGCATATTAGGATAATGGGGCCCCTATGAATTCCGTTTGGTGATTTAACAGGAACTAGGGACCTTGTATTTGATCTGAGGGGGCCCCCTGTCGATCGCGGGACCCTGGGCACTTGCCTAAAGTGCCCAATGGGGAAGAGGGATCTGGTCAAACTTAATTTTAAGAATAGAGAATCATGTCAGAATCAGGCAGGCCCACTATTTGTATAATATATTCAAAAAATATTATCTATATGTTAATTTGATTATTGAGGAGATTCTAATTTCTAGAATTAAAATCGATACTGATGTGATATCGATTTATATCATACAATTGCATACATCCCTATTGTATATATGTCATTCGGTTTGCTTGCTTTCATTGCATTTCTATTTGAATTATTTTCTTTCGTTTTGATAGGAATCATCGTTATATCAAATACATCTATGTATAGAGCATTGAACACTGTTGGTGCACTGTTCTATTTAATATATTTTACTTCTCTTTAGACGGTCCTTGTTCTAAAAATTACAACTCCGATTGGAACCGCATCAGTCGCTTGAATATTTTGATTTCAGGTTCAGCATAACGTAATAGTAGATGTTCTTGTTATAAAAAAAGTCGCAACAGAATGTCCAACGTGAGCTATGACTTGGATACTTCTGGAGGGCTTATGCCGGTAAGTTTAATAAAATAGGTGCTTTTCGTAGGGTTTCAGTTACTTTTAGGTTGCCTTTGCCTGGCGCCATTTTATACGTTTGGATCGTGTGCGTTTGTTAATCTTTAGTGTACCTAATGACCTTATGATTTTAGCTCATCAGGGCGTTGATAAAGCCCCCAGACGAGGATGCAAATGCCCAGAAGCCCAAAAAACCTCAGCATCCCTATTACAAGAGGCCTGGGAAGGGGCATAATCATGACTCTTGCGATGCTTGTGGAGAAGGCGGCGACCTTATATGCTGTGACCGGTGCCCCGCAAGTTTCCATCTTGGTTGCTAGTAAGTGTTCTCGCACTGTTCTTATTAATTTTAAATAGCTACAAAGTGAAGAGTGTGTGTATTCAGGTATTTGGTAATAAAGGTACATAATATGGTGGCAGCCAGAATTTGTATGGTTTTCTACTCGGTGGTGGTTGCTTTGTATAATCAAAAAACACAGCTGGTCTAACTTAAACTGATAAAGTAAAACAATATTAACAATAATAGTTAGAAAATAATTATTTAGTGTTCTCTCCTTTCTACAATCTGGGCTCCTTTATAAAACAAGATGAAGGTGTGAAGAAGCAGTTCTGCAGGCCGGCAAGGTCATGATGGTTGCTGTCACAGTTCATAACTGCTGCACTGCTGCTTTCTTCGCATCTGGACTTTACCACCATTTCAAACTCATTTGCCTACCTAGCTATAAAAAAAAAGAATTTAAAAGTAGGTATACATAATATCACTATTTGAGCTTCAGGATTGAATGTAAAGTGGGCAGTCGACTGGTTGCTCACGACAAATAGTAAATAATTAAAATAATAGGAATATTCATACAAATCTAACATAAATACAATGGATTTCATTTATATATTTCAAGCATACTTTAGTACAAAATTCATGTGGCTATACCAACTTTGGATGTAATGTTGAGTTCGGGTGTAGCAACTGTTTTTAATGAATGATTTGTAACAAATTCCTAGAAATCCCATGCAGATACGCGACTGGAATCCGCCGCCAAAGACACAAAGATTTCTTTCTTTCACAAACATTTCTTCTCTTTTGTTTACATCCACAGAGATGGCCAGCAAGTGTTAGCAAATCTTAACCTTTTGTTTAAAGATATCAGCTATAGTAGTTAGGGAAGCGTGTACGTTTCGGAGTTAAATTTATGGTTCAGTCACAAAGTGATATTCTGAGTAGCAACTGGGTTTAGTAAACTTTTGAATAAGTATGGCTGCTATATGCACATTCACTGTTAAAGAAAAAGCGGAAATCCTTTATAAATGAATATAAACTATACATGTGTACTTGTCTGTTTCTCTTTACCTTTGCCTGTAGACTTAAACGAAAGCCTGAAAGATATAACGATGAAAATAGAGTGGTCCCTTCATCCTTGTTATACCCGAAATCCACTGTAATTGAAATATGAAAATATGTATAAATAGTAGTAATAGATTCTTTATTTGTCATAAAAATTGATTCTTTTTAACAAATTAAATAAGGTTCTTAAGCTGGATGGGCTGGATGGCTTATGCATATTGGTAACAATAGTTTGACGACCTCCATGACCGAATGGTTTGTACGCTGGGTTTCATGGTATCGCCGACTCGAGAGGTCCCGGGTTCGAATCCCGGTGGGGGCAGATGTTAGTGTGATGAATATGAGCATTCGTACTCCCAATCACGGATGGTTAATATGTATTTCTATATAAATAAGCTTATATATGTATCAGTATATGTATTCTATCCATTACCCTAGTATCCCATAACACAAGCCTACAGTGATTACTTTGGGGCTAGGCTAATTGGTGTGTGGGTTGGAAAATTATATTTATTATAATTATGAGACCAAGGTATAGATTAAAAGAGCTTCCAAGGAAAGAAAAACCATAAAGGATACATACAGCACTATTTGCTCGTAATTTGGGCTTTCGAACAAAGTATACAACCTCCGTAAATGCATTTTTTGAGCAAAAGTTTTGAAATGGTTTTTATTTGTTATATTATAAAATAGAAAAGAAAAAGAAAAAACTTATTTTTTTACTTTGGTTTATTTTTTACGCCAGTGTACCAGTATTTTTGCCCAACATGTTGTGTATACATTTTAGACATTCTACTAGTATGACGATTTAGAATTTCAGAACCCTTTGCAATGTCTGATAAAACCACCGCTAGACATACAATCTAACTAGTCTGGCCATAAATACTGTTACATAAAATCTTTTCCTTTTTTAAAATTTTTAAGTATTTTGAATTTGGAACACGTATATTATTTTAAAAACTTCTTTCGATTTTGCGCCATTTCACATATTTTTTCGTGTTCATTATAAAATAGCAATGTGGAATGGAGTGTTACAGAAAATAGGTTTGCAGTGATCGCCTTGCACAAAGTGGGTATAGATGGCGCCGTCGGTCATATTCCAGACACTTTAAAAGCTTGGTATTAGCCGTATGTTCGTATATCGTACTATCAACAGATACAACAACACTTCGTTTGTCGAAGACCAGAAAAGATGGGGGCGGCCGTGTGCTGTTAGAACTACAAAGGCTGTTAAAGCCAGAATTCGTCGAAACCCCATTAGGTAGCAAAAAATCTTATCGCGTGAAATTAAGATTCCCGCTTTTTTCTTATACAACTGCCCTTGTGGTCCCTTTGGCTATAATTTACAACAAATCATTGGTATCCAGGATATTTCCGTCTGTTTGGAAGAACGCCAGGGTTGTACCAATACATAAAGTGGGAAATACAATAATATTGCTAACTCATCATCATCATCATCGACCCATGCTCGTCCACTGCTGGACATAGGTCTCCCCTAATGCACGCCACTGCTCCCGATTTTCTGCCACTCTCATCCAGCTCACGCCAGCCAGCCTACGAATGTCATCATCCCATCTTGTCTCAGGGCGTCCCACACTACGTTTACCGAGTCGCGGTCTCCGCTCAAGAACTTTACGGCTCCATCGGCCGTCATTTCTGCGGCTAATGTGACCAGCCCACTGCCACTTCAGTTTGCTAATTCGGTGGGCTATGTCGGTGACTCTGGTTCTCTGTCGGATTACATCATTTCTGATGCGGTCCTTCAGGGATACTCCGAGCATAGCCCTTTCCATAGCTCTCTGAGCGACTTTAAACTGGTGGACCAGTCCAGCCGTGAGTGTCTACGTCTCGGCGCCGTATGTCATAACTGGGAGGACGCACTGATCGAAGACTTTCGATTTGAGACATTGAGGGATGGGTGACGAGAAGACTTGACGAAGGCTACGAAATGCTGCCCAGCCCAACCGAATTCATCTATTGGCTTCTCTCTCAAAGTTGTTTTTGCCTAATCGGAGCGTTTGTACTAGATAGACATATTCCTGAACAACTTCGAGAGGTACTCCATTAACAGCAACCAGTCCCGGATCAACGAGCTCGTTGAACATGAACATTGGTTTTATCCAAGTTCATCCGGAGACCGATGCGTTTGGAAGATTCAGCTAGGCTACTCACCATCTCCTGTAGGTCATGCAGGGTTTCAGCCAGGATGACGATATCGTCCACGAATCGAAGGTGTGAGATGTATAGCCATTAATATTTATTCCGCGTCTTTTCCAGTTGAGCGTTCCGAACACGTCCTGCAGCGCAGCGGAGAAGAGTTTCGGGGATTTTACATCCCCTTGTCTCACACCACGGCGCAGCAGGACAGGCTCGGTCTGGCCATTCTGGAGCACGACGGACATATTAGCGGCGTTATATAGACATCTCAGCACCTCGATATATCGCCAATCAACTTGGCACCTCTGCAACGCTTCAAGAACAGACCAGGTCTCGACGGAGTCAAAAGCTTTTTCATAGTCCACAAACGCCATGCACAGGGGCTGGTTATACTCTTTGGTCTTCTGTATAACCTCTCTCACTGTATGAATGTGGTCTATGGTGCCATAACCCCGTCGGAACCCGGCCTGCTCTGCAGGTTGAGCTTCGTCAAGTCTTCGTGCAAGGCGATTCGAGATGACTCTCGAGAACAACTTATAGACATGGCTCAGGAGGGAAATTGGTCGATAGTTCTTCAGTAAAGTTTTGTCGCCTTTCTTGAAGAACAATACGACCAAGCTCCGGTGCCACGCCCTTGGAGTTCTCCCGGAGAAAAGGACAGAGTTAAATATACGCCGGAGCTCCTTCAGCACCGGCTTGCCGGCAGCTTTCAGAAGCTCGGTTGTGACTCCGTCTTCCCCCGGGCCTTTTCCATTTTTGAGTTGTCCAAGAGCCGCCTCGATCTCCTCTAGGCCGATGTCGGGGAGATCCTCCGTCACATGGCGGGTTAATGTGGCTCTTGAATCGCTCTTATCCGGCGTAGGGTGGGGCGAGTGCGACGCGTATAGCTGGCTATAGTAGGTATAAACTTCCGAAAGAATCTCTGGTTTCGACGGGACGACTTCTCCATTTGTTTTGGTCAACTTCGTCAGGTGGCTCCTTCCAAGCTGTTGTACGAAGACTTTGGACCCCCGGTTCTGCTCAATTGTTCTCTGTATTAAGAGTGAATTGGAGCGTCGGAGGTCACGTCTTATCAGCTTGGAGATGGACTTATTCAGGGCCCGTTGTTCGGACGAAGTGACTAGTGGATCGTTTCGCCGCTTGTCCATTAGATCCAGAGTCTCCTTCTTCAGACCGTTTGCCCTTACGTCGCAGCTCACAGAATTTCGCACCCTCGTCACGAAGGATTTCTACCACTTGGTCGAGTTCCTCGTCGATGTCAACGTCAATTGTGGTTTCCAAGGCAGCAAATCGATTTTCCAGTTTCATTTGGAATGCGTCAGAACCAACGGTCGATTGGAGCAGCTTTGGCCGGAGCGTTGACTTCATCAATCGAGAGCGTTCGAGCTTAAAATCGATAATCAGAGTGCCTCTTAGAAGTCGGTGATCACTTCCGGTTTTAAACCTATTGCTCACTGAGACATCTCTGAATATGCGCTTCTTGTCCGATATGATGAAGTCAATCTCATTCTTGGTCATAGCATCGGGGCTTCGCCACGTCCTCTGGGGCTGTTTCTTAAAGAATGAATTCATTAAGAAAAGCCCCTCGCGTTCCAAGAAATTGACGAGCATTTGCCCCCTATGATTCCTACTCCCATAGCCGTATGATCCTAACATCGATTCGCTGCAAGTCTGTACTCCCACTTTAGCGTTGAAGTCCCCCATGACAACGTTAAAGTGAGCCTTGGTGGTGGTGTGTAAGGCTCGAGAGATGTCCTCGTACATCTCTTCCACGACATCATCCGAGTATGTCGACATTGGAGCGTACACTTGTATAACCTTTTGGTTAGTTTTATAATGAGGTACGCAACCCTCGTCGACACACTGGAGACTTCAATCACGTTGTCAGTGAGTACTTTGTTGACCAGGAACCCGACGCCGCCCTGTGACGGATTATCTCTCTCTCTGAAGTACATCAGATGGCCAGACTCTAAGGTCAGCGTGTCCTCGCCCTCTCTGCGGACTTCGCTCAGCCCGAGCACGTGCCATCTAATGTGATTCAGCGTCTCCTCCAGTTGAGCTAGATGTGAGTCGAGCCGTAACGTGCGACCGTTATATGTCGCCAAGTTAAGTGTTTTTTGGCGGCCTACCCTAACCCGGAGATTCTTAGCACCCCCTGCCCTGCCGTAACCGAGACCGCCGCCTTGGCCTGGAATAGCAGGGCTACCGGGAACTGGGGGCCAGGACAATGTTGCGTTTATCATTTAGGAGGGTTTGGACCATAACCCACCACGCTGGTCCAGTGCGGGTTGGTGGGTGGTTTCGCCAGGGCCTCGTCTGTTATACAGCAGGACGCACCGCTTGCAGGGGAGGTTGACTTGGGACCCGAAAGATGTTATGTAGGCCCCCTTGCGTCCCATTTTATTATTGCTAACTATCTACCTAAATATATTCTTTCCGCTTTTGCGAAGTTTTCGAGGTTTTAATAATGTCCTATCCTGAATCAGTACCATAGGCTGTATCTCAGTGAACATCAATATTATTTTTCGAACGTCGACCTACAGCACTAATCTTATAAATTTCACAGAATCATTGATGCAGGTAGTTGATTCAAGAAAACAGTATGACGTCATTTATACTGATTTCACAAAGGCCTTTGATATTGTCCCACACGCTCTACTATTATATAAATTGTCTGCATATGGTATAGAGGGCTCCATTCTCTTAAAGTTCAGATCTTACCTGGATAGTTGTTTTTTTGTGTTGTCATCAATGGTTCGCAATCGGTAAGTCGTCCTATTACTTCAGGGGTGCCGCAGGGCACGCACTTGGGTCCTACTCTATTCAGCCTCTTTATAAATGATGCAGCTAATATCTTCAGTTGCTCTGAGGTGTTTATATCTGCTTATGATTTTAAGTTTGCAAGAATAAGGGCGATAGCCAAGTACTTCAAGCTGACTTGGATGCTGTACCGAAATGCTCTTAAACTTAAAAAAAAATGCTATAACGTAAAGTTTACACGTAAACTCAATACAATAGCATCTTTTTATAGGATAGCTCATGATAAAATACAGTAGGTGGAGACAATCAAGGATTTGGGTGTTCTGTTTGATACCAAGGTAACGTTAGTGCTGCTATCGACAGTATAGTTAGTAAATCATCTAGAACGTTAGGCTTTGTCATAAGAAGTTTTGGACACGCGGCTATCAAAATTTTATTTATAGTAGTCATGTGCGAAGTACGTTGGAATATTGCAGCGTGGTGTGGAGACCAAATTCTGCTACATACACCCTAAGGTTGGAATGGGTAAATATTTTCTTTGGCATCTCTGTTTCTGCATAAAAATAAAGAGAGAAAAAAAAGTCAATCAAAATACTTTAAAATCAACATGCTATTCCTCTATAAATTGATGATAGATGATATTTTGAGCCGTGTGTAGAATGTTAAATATTAAGTAAAACGCAAAATCAAAACTCACGGCCTTAGATTAAAACAAAAACGGTAGATACGGTACGCTTATACTTGCATCAAACAAAAACTGATCCCACGGCAGCGCGAACGGGATGGCGAGATCCGCGTCACTGCATTACCGACCCGAACGAAACAGCACGTTAAGTTCCAACGGCAGCGCAAACGAGACGGCGAGATCTGCGTCACTGCATTACCGACCAATCAGGCGACCAGTACTCGACGTCACTACTGAATAAGATTCAAAACAAACAACAATTTTTATGAAAAAATATATTTTATAGTACTTCCGAATGAAAAGTGATGCCGTGGGTTTTATTTTTAGTTCTTGAGCAATTTGAGCACTTTTTAAAAACACGCTTAGGGATTGTTTTATCATATAAACACAAAATATTAGCAATATTTCTTTTTGGCGTTCACATGTACGTCGTTTGCATGTCAAGTTGTGACTAAAGCGATTAGGGTCATGGACCACAATTGGTGCGGATCACTTTTGTGAGGCTAGTGCCGTATCTACCCTTTTTGTTTTAATCTAAGCTCACGGCGCGATTTGTGCTCACAAAGCGTGCGGGTGTTCGCAGCACAAGCTGCGGGCGCTCGCGGGACGCAATCACCCGCAGACGCGGCGGGTCTGGCCCGCGCTCTCTGCGATTTTTATGCGTGTGACCAAAAGGCTTGTTCAGAATTCAAAGTGTGAGGGCTTGTGTATGAAATAAAACAGTGTTCAGTACGCAGCCGGTCGTCGTCCAGAAACCACGTTCCCTAATTTCGAACCAAAACGCCGGGGCGTACTTAGCTCCGCGATACACGGCTCGTTGGAAGACACGTTAAATATGCCTAACTCTAACCAAATATAAAATCTAAGGACTTACAGACTAGTGTCCTATCAGCGGCTTCAGTACAACGGCGACGGAGGGAGCGCTCCTCCTTATGCAGAACCCGCCGGCCAAAGCCAAGCGAATGTGTTTGGAATATCCAGGGTTTTGGGAACACTTAAACTCACTACCACCCAAAAACCACATACGACATAGGGGGCCCTAATAGGCTACTAAGGAACACCTGATGCTATTATAATATTATATTGCCCACGTGGCTGGGACGGACAAATTGTGCACATTGTCGCTTGACCGATTCATTCGCTAACTTAAGACGGACTGACCGATGGGTACGCAATCGCGTGTTTTTACTCGCACCTGCCTTTTGTTCCTAACAAACACCTTTGCCCGCTGCCGCGGCGGGCGCCATGAGTTCTTGTATGAGTTGTGTATTTATGAGAAACATGGTTGTACACAGTGACCCGCCGCTGGACGAGCAGGACATCCCGGCGGGGCTGTGGCTGTGCCGCGAGTGCCGCGCCTCGGACGCGGAGCAGCCGCCCAGCGCGCGGAACAGTCGCCCGCAGTCGCCCGCCGACTCCGGCGATAGAAAGACCAGGTGAATATTCAGTTCGAGGTCCAAAGTTCTCCTTATTTTGTTGTGAAAACCGTGTTACAATACCATCCTATATAGATCCTATTGAATATGTTTTATATTAGTGCATTCGCCCGGATAGCGAAGGGTGCGGGTTCGAGTCCCGTCTGCTGCCTGGCCCGCGTGAAATTTTTTCTAATTATATTTTCTTTAGATTTAAACATCAAGCAGTTACATGCTTTAAAATAATAAAAATTATAACTATGTTTTATATTGATCTTTTAGTGCCGCTTTCTGGTTAGATGTACATGCAATTTACTCATGAGGTGTGGAGATATTATTATTACAATTACTGTCATAATTTACGAATCTTCATTGATATTCGATTAATTTACTTTCATACAATTATAATCTTCTTAATTATGATCAAAAAACAATCTGCCAGAACTGTTGAGTTGCAGTAGTTTTACGATATCTTTACATTGCAGACTGCTTGAGACATGTTGTTATATCTGTTGAAAGCAGATTCATAGAGTGGATTATTGAATTATTTCAAATTTCGCTGTCGCCAAATAAAAATATTCAATAAAAAACCGAGAACCTTTTTTTTTATGAAATAAAGAATAATAACCATGGCGAACAACCTGACAATTTGCAAAAAAAATGTTTATTATAAAAATTGCCAACTTCCGTCCAGATCTCTCCGTAACAGTCGCGCCAGCTCCACCAAGAAGAGAAGCAAAGACGACGAGGATGACGACCCCAAAGAGGAGTCAAGTAAACAGTTGTCCCCCATGGAGACTCTGGTTAAAGCAGCGAGGGTCATGAACCCGCGACAGTTCGAGCTGCCCAAGGACTTGCGGGTGCCGTGTCTGTTCCCGGGAACTGAGAAAGGTGAGAGGTTCTTTAATAATTTGTGACTTACTATAGTTATCATTTTGTCCCTCATTGAGACTGGTGAAGGCAGCGAGGGTCATGAACCCGCAACAGTTCAGCTGCCCAAGGACTTGCGGGTACCGTGTCTGTTCCCGGGGACTGAGAAAGGTAAGAGGTTCTTTAAAAATTTATGACTTACTATTGTTATCATTTTGTCCCTCATTGAGACTGGTGAAGGCAGCGAGGGTCATGAACCCGCAACAGTTCAGCTGCCCAAGGACTTGCGGGTCCCGTGTCTGTTCCCGGGGACTGAAAAAGGTGGGAGTTCTTTAATAATTTATGACTTACTGTCATTATCAATTTGTCCCCCATCGAGACTGGTGCAGGCAGCGAGGGTCATGAACCCGCGACAGTTCGAGCTGCCCAAGGACTTGCGGGTCCCGTGTCTGTTCCCGGGGATTAATAAAGGAGAGACTTCTTGAGTTACAACATTATCATCATTGTTATTTGAATTGCTTTTGTCTTCTGAGGAGCCTAGCGTAGACGTTTACAAGAGCTCGTAACTGCCTAGCCTGAATAAATTATTTTGAGTATAAGTTGAGTTTCTGCTTTCTTAAAAAAATGTGTTCTTTAATTGTTAATAATAATAATAATCTTTTTATTTCTCTCAAGAATGGTTACAAAATCTTATATAATAAAATACAAAGTATAATTAGCATATAATTTAACCTTTCCTGTGACTGGTGTCTGCACTAGGTTGTGAAACCTGTCTTACAGATCACCAGGCTCCCGCTGCGCCGGTCATCACTTTCATACTATATTATAGTATTCAATAGATACTTTTCTTTTTCTAAATTTTTCAGAACTCAGTTGTTTCATATAATAAAGTAATGTCACTGCTTCATAAAACATTTAAATTTGACATTAATTTGCAATATAAACCTTTTAGTTCGGTAGCTTCGATGGTATTGTATTACTAGAAAAATACTTAAATTAATTAGCTACAAAGATTTAGACCAATGCAAAGCTAATATTTTACATTTCTCACTCAGGCCCTTTCATGCTTTTGTTGAATTTTATAGATTCATGTCAATAAATCTATTTGCTCAAAAAATACATTTTTGTAACACGTTTGCTCGTAAAGCGTCTCTTATTGCACCAATTTTTAATATCATAATCTATCACATTACACACAAGTGCGGTAATGTAAAGTAAAACGCACGGCTTATTATGTTCCGTCTAAAAGCGAACGAGACTTTTTTAAATCTTAGCAGAGTTTTTATGTCAGAAAGTTAGCCAACATTTTCTTAATAAAATGAACTTAGGGAGATAATGTATAAACATTTAGTTCTTTAATTTGATTCATTATGACAAAAATATTAATTTACTTTATTAGTAACACTGGCTGTGTTTTGTTCCTTTGCCTAAAAAAAGCCCAATCGCTAATCTGTAAAAAGTTATTTGTTTTTCTTTTCGCTGTATTGTTTTTATTTGAAAATATTGTCAAGTAGTAACGAATTTATTAATTTGACACCGCCAGAAGTCGAAAAACGCTCCGCTAAGCCTCTTGCCCGAAAAATCCACGGATAGATACTTACAGTCAAGTGTATCCAAATTTCATCTTATGGAAAACAAACAAATGTGCAAATTCATTTTCAGAAAGTACGTACCTACGTAGGTAGTATTATTTCCTCGCAAATGTGTTATAAAACGTCGTATGACATACGTGTGGATCGGTATTCACAAACCGGTAATAGCCAACTTACCGCACCAACATCATAAATAACCATTTCATTCTTTTATATAATTTTTGTTATCAGAAGGCGGCAAGAACGGAAGCTCTTCACTTATAAGCGTGGACTCTTGGGGCTGCGTGCCGGTTCCGGCCCGACTCTGCTTCCTGTGCGACAACACCTGCAAGCACGCGCCTCTGCTGCAGTGCGACTACTGCCCGCTGCTCTACCACCAGGTAGGAACAACCCCCCCCCCCCCCCCCCCCACATGATGATGATGAATGATGAATCCACACTGGATTGAATTTTCATATTGCTGTTTGTAATTGTAGGACTGCTTGGATCCGCCTTTGACTGCTCTGCCCACCGGACGCTGGATGTGTCCCAACCATGTTGAGCAATATATTGTAAGTTTAAAATACTCATATTCTTCCCTCACTCATATTTTAAGTGATAAATAATTTTAATAGTTAATTATGATTACTGTTTTAAGGCAATAATTGTGGCAGTTACATAATTTATAATAAATTAGAAGTTACTCATAATTTTCATTAAAAAAAAGCTATAATTGAAACAGACAGACAGATAGGAATCCACAACATTACAATCTCATATTACTGAATATTTAATTTTTGCAACATGTGCATATTTCATTCTTCTCTACAAGTAGCGGCTGCCCGCGACGCAATTAATTGCTTGCGCGACAACGCAACTGTCTGGTAATTTGGCAACATTTGCAAGTTGCTTTGTCGGACATTTCTCGCAAAAGTTTTATTGCATCTGGAAACGCGGCCTTAATGAGATAAATGAGCTATTTACATAGATAACATCCTCCCCGACAGGACTGGAAACTGGTGAACTCCATCTCTGCATCGGAACGCGTAGCTTTATGGGATAAGTTCTCCGGCCCCGTGGACCAGCACGCCATCAAGATTGATTTCATACGACGCGCCAGATCCCACGCTCCACGGTTCAGGTATAAATGTGATCTAGATTGATTGCATCCTCCCCGTCAGGACTGGAAGCTGGTGAACTCCATCTTGTGGGATAAGTTTTTTTTTTGTATATAACTGACTCATTTGGACTCGATTTTGCCCAACTTTGAGTTGTTTTTATTTAAGTACTAGCTGACTCGGCGAACTTCGTACCGCCCAAAAGTAATAATTTGCAATAAATTAAAATTGCGACTATAATTTGAGATTTAAACTATCCTATCTCTCAAGTTGGATCGAACTGCACATGGTGTACGAATTTTATTATAATCGGTTCAGTGGTTTAGGAGTCCATTGAGGACAAACATTGTGACACGAGATTTATATATATTAAGATTAGTCTTGAGGAGCTCGATGGCGCAACTGGTTAGCGCGTCCGGCTGCGATCGTTGAAGTTAAGCAACTTTCGCAGTGGTCGGTCATTGGATGGGGGACCAAAAATTTACTATCTCGAGCTCTTCCGTGCTTCGGAAGGCACGTTAAGCCGTTGGTCCCGGTTGCATCTGCAGTCGTTAGCACCCACCAATCCGCACTGGGCCCGCGTGGTGGGTCATGGCCCAATCTCCCTATTCCATCCATAGGGAAGGCCTGCGCCCCAGCAGTGGGGACATTAATAGGCTGATGATGATGATGATGATGATGATGATGATGATTAGTCTTAAAATTGGTATGATTGGATCAGGTTGAAGGTGCCCGTGGGGGTCCGTGGCCGGGTGGCGGTCCCCAGTATGGTGCGCAGTTGTTACCGTCGGCCGCCGCCATTACTGCCGGCGAGGCGGGAATACGTGCGATGCACTAAAGGTAGGTATAATGCGATTCAAATAAGAATAGGAAAGCCAATGACCTCCATCTGTCACATGTCGCTTGAAAAGTACGGTTTGCAAAAGTCTCGGAACACTTTTTTAGCATTCAGCTGATTCTAGAATAAAAACCAAACATTATTAAACAAACAATAACAAATGTTGATAATTAATATTAGTTGTTTTTTTTTCATTTATTGAGCTTTGGCTGTGAATGGTTGATAACCTAAATCTTCAACCAAATGTCACTTTTATGTTTCGTTCAGAAACTCGAATTAAAACTTTCGTTTACATATATGATGCATGTTCGTATGTAACCTGCATGATTATTCATAACTTCTCCGGCGGTACTGCAGAGATGAGCGAAATTGAGCAAGAGCAAGAGCTAGATTCTGATTTTTTTTTTCACACAGTTTTAATAAAGAAAACCTATTAAAAATCGGTTATGTTATTTCTCAACCTTAGTAAATTAATGTTATTAAAAAATCTGATGTTTTGTCTCACTTAATCTTAGTATATAATTTTTATTAATTAGCCACATTATTTTGCTCACTCTACCTTTTTGGTTTGAATTGACAGTCAGTCGGTCCTATTCTTAGTTGAATCGCATTATAACAAATCTTCTATAATATAAAAATGAATCGCTGAATGTGTAGCTAAGCGCAAATCTCGAGAACAGCTGAACCGATTTCGATAATTCTTTTTTTAGAATATTCCTTGAAATACTAAGATGGTTCTTACGCAGAGAAAAGTTAAAAAAATTGCCTGAAAAGCCCAAAAACAACACTTTCTATACTCCCATGCAAACGATTCGTAATAATACTTAAAAGTCAATTTGAACTTTAATACCATACCATAAATTTCAAATATTAGTGGAGAGGTTCCTGGAAGGCAAAACAATTGAGTGACGTGATGTCAATACAAGTTTGGAAAAGGCAAATATACCATGTCCAGTTTTTTGTTCAGATAATTTCAGTTTCATTACCCTATCGGTTGGTTGGAGTGACATTTTTGTCACGTAATTTTTCTGATGACTGGACGCCATTTACACGTGGGATAATTTACTTTATAAAAAAAATGGGGACGGTTTGTAGTTGTACACATCCAGTATGAAAAAAATATAGGCGGTTGCTGAAATAAAACTTTGATGGCGCAGATGACTACTGCTCTACACCGAAGCGAAGCGAAGCGAGGCCGGGCCACTACTATAATAATAATAATGATTTATTGAAGTGAAACTTCTTTAGGCACGCTTGACTTGGGGGGTAAACTGGCGAATGTGTTACGATTTTTACGTTACGCGCGCACCGGTGACTCATCGGTAAACAATGAACTATACCCGTCACAAAATACATGAATCTAGTGCTTGGTGGGTGATAACGGACCCAGTGCGGATTGGTAGGTGATAACGGACCTAGTGCGGATTGGTGGGTGATAACGGACCCAGTGCGGATTGGTGGGTGATACCGGACCCAGCGCGGATTGGTGGGTGATAACGTACCCAGCGCGGATTGGTGGGTGATAACTATAGAATTTTCACTTCAGTCGTGTGGTCATAAGCACACTCGCTTTTTTTTCCAAAGGACATTGGGCAAAAATGTATGGACGCTGCACCCACGTCCGCCACGGCTTAAACTACATTTGTTTGAAAGGTATCATAGTCAAGATCATCTGTGCCAAAGCGCATCAAATTCCATCCCGGGGGTCTTTAGTTATTTTAAGTTAAATGTGTGCAAGTACTATAACGAACAAACATTAATGAAACAAATCTAAAGAAAAGTTTACTAGAAAAAAATCCACGCGGACCAGGCAGCGGACGGGACTCGAACCCGCACCCTTCGCTACCCGGGCGAATGCACTGACCATTATGCTACCAAGGCCCTTTTCGCCGCGTTGAAATTTTCCTAGCCTTAAGCTGCAAGGCAGCGCCATCTCTTCGCATTGTAGGTAATCCACGATGTCAAATGAATACTTTTTCAAGTATTAAACATTTGAAAGAAGAAATAGCAATTATAGTTATTTTTTTATTTATTTTTAAGCATTTAACTGCTAGATGTTGAAATCTAAAGAAAAGTTTACTAGAAAAAAATTTCTTTCAAATGTTTAATACTTGAAAAAGTATTATTGTGGATTACCTACAATGCGAAGAGATGGCGCTGCCTTGTAGCTTAAGGCTAGGAAAATTTCAACGCGGCGAAAAGGGCCGTGGTAGCATAATGGTCAGTGCATTCGCCCGGATAGCGAAGGGTGCGGGTTCGAGTCCCGTCCGCTGCCTGGTCCGCGTGGATTTTTTTCTAGTAAACTTTTCTTTAGCTTTAAACATCTAGCAGTTAAATGCTTAAAAATAAATAAAAAAATAATTAATGAAACAAGTGAATTAATTTAGTTAGTTAGTTCGACTCTACATAGGGTGCTCAGGAATTATGGGAGTACTTCACAAGGTGCAAGGGTGCCCCCTTATGCTATTCTGCTGCGCTAGAGTAAATTCAAATATCCCCGCATGGGTTGTTTTTTTTTTAAACATTCTGTTCGTTATAGTAAATTGTCCGTTTTACATAGAAGATATGTAAAACGGAGCGACCACAGATTACACAAACTTGTCCACGCTTCGGAGAACACATAATTCCAGTTCATCCATACAAATTGACAAAACCGGTAATCATGTTCCAATATCCATAGCGTGTTAGATAAAAATCAATTAAGTAGCGCACAATCACAACGAAGTAAGACGAGTCGACTATTTGCAACTGCAAGTCCTTCATCATCCGTAAACCGTTTTGAAATGTCTCAGTAAGAGCAAGCGCAGGATGGTCGGCAGGCTTTGTCGTATATCTGGTTGTATAGTACGATATGGCATATTATTACGATTACTAATAATATAAAATGAAGGTACTATAAAATGAATTTATTCAGCTACTTAAATATGCCCATGTGTCATATCTATCGACTACCAGGATATTTCGTACGGTGTCATATCTTTTGACTCCCAGGATATTTATTTTCGGTGTCATAATAAAAAAGGCTAGTTTTTCATAGATCTATCGATTCATACTAATCACATTGTTGGCGGAGCTGGGTGCGTTTTGCCCATTGTCCTTTCTCAACAATTTTACAGAGTAATAGCCAGAATAATGGCTCAGCCTGTCCTCCCTCGACCTGACTCGGTCGGCTCCTCCCTAATGTGGGGGGGCCGAAGGCGACGTGCCATCGGCTTTATCACGGGGTGATAAGGTCGATGGCACTATACGGAGCCCCGGTTTGGGCGGAGTGCCTTTCGTCTCGCACGAGGGCCCTCTTGCGCAGACCGCAGAGGGTCATCGCGGCCCGGGCCGTGCGGGCTTACCGCACGGTCAGCCACGGGGCTGCCTGCGTGGTTTTCGAAATGTCTTAAGGAAACAGCCGGCATATCCAATTCAGTTAACGAAGCTTAACCATTTTCAAGGATGTGATCTAACCATTATTCAGGCACCCCCTGAAAGTACTTTTTCTAAAAGCTTTCTAAGCTATTGGTCCAGTCCCGTTAATGTACAAATTCGTTCGTTATAAACTCACGATATGCAGTGGCCCCACATACCAAGGGATATTACCGCATATCTGCGATTTCACAAATGATAAACTAAACAAGTTTATTTGATAATTTTGCCACGCCCACAAGGCCCATCCAACCTCTCTTATCTTTTCCGTGGTTCAGTGTGGTTTGGCTATCATAATCTCATATCATAATTAGTTTATGCAAAAGACAAAACAGCGGAAAAGGTAGCTTTGTCAGGTAAGCGTTGGACAAGCATTAGGCGAACTGATGGCATGCCGATCGCTTCGTCACTCTTATAATTGTCTTCCCAGTTTTCCTTTTCCTGGCAGGCACGCTCCCGTGGGAAGTCGATGCCCTGGTTCTGTCCCAGGTGCATCGACACAGGGCCGCGGCGAGAACGCGGGGCGAGCGGCCCGTTCTGGAGGAGGTACAACGGGTCCGCACCCAGGCGCAGAGGGAGGCTCTGCGCCGGTGGGGCGAGGCACTCGCCAACCCAGCCGCTGGCCACCGGACGATCGAGGCGACGAGGCACTCGCCAACCCAGCCGCTGGCCACCGGACGATCGAGGCGACGAGGCACTCGCCAACCCAGCCGCTGGCCACCGGACGATCGAGGCGACGAGGCACTCGCCAACCCAGCCGCTGGCCACCGGACGATCGAGGCGACGAGGCACTCGCCAACCCAGTCGCTGGCCACCGGACGATCGAGGCGACGAGGCACTCGCCAACCCAGCCGCTGGCCACCGGACGATCGAGGCGACGAGGCACTCGCCAACCCAGCCGCTGGCCACCGGACGATCGAGGCGACGAGGCACTCGCCAACCCAGCCGCTGGCCACCGGACGATCGAGGCGACGAGGCACTCGCCAACCCAGCCGCTGGCCACCGGACGATCGAGGCGACGAGGCACTCGCTAACCCAGCCGCTGGCCACCGGACGATCGAGGCGACGAGGCACTTGCCAACCCAGCCGCTGGCCACCGGACGATCGAGGCGACGAGGCACTCGCCAACCCAGCCGCTGGCCACCGGACGATCGAGGCGACGAGGCACTCGCCAACCCAGCCGCTGGCCACCGGACGATCGAGGCGATCCGGCCGGTGTTGGAGGAGTGGGTGGGGCGCCAGCGGGGCAGCCTCACCTACCGCCTGGTGCCGGTACTGACAGGACATGGGTGCTTTGGTCACTACCTGCATCGTGTGCCATGCTTGGTAGCGAGCGGGCCTGGAAGGCTGCCGCCTCCTGCGAATTGGTGATGACGCAGAAGGAGGGAGCGGGAGGAGGACGCTCCAGCCGCTCCCCTCCGACGTAGACGGGTTGGCCGAAGAAGGCAGGCGGTCGTGACTCTCGGTCTTCGTCGGCCCTAAGGTGGTCTGGGCGCCATTCGGCATAGGCCACCCCGTCTGGGGATTGCCTAGTACCCTAGCGCAATCCCCCAGAGGCGTATCGCCCGGTCCACTCGTTGGGCCGGGCCGGCCCGGGGGCGTTCCAGTGAAGTGGTGCACACGGAGGTGCGCCGATCCTGAAATGCTCACGGGCGTAGTACCGGTGGGTTTTAGTGGGTAGGACCGGCGTTGTACCGCGCCGGGAAGTCCCACACACGACGCGCGCCCAGCCAGCGCGCGGTACGGTCCGTAAATGGATGTGTGTGTGTGTTTCACGTATTAAAGAATACTAGCAAACCAGTGAACCAAATATTCACCAAAACCTGATTTAAAAAAAAATGTATTTAATTAATTGAGAACTTCGTAGATTTTGTGTGGTTTCGTTTGAAATTCGTGATTTCTCGAAAACCGGAATTGCTACGTTACTGAAATCCGGTTTGTAGTCTTACCAGACTATTCTTAACTTATAACTTAAATATTCTCTTTGTCTATCTCTTACGGTTTGGCCGCTGAAACAGCACCACAGACGGACGGACGGACTTGTCTAATAGATAAGAGATAACCACGCAGGCCCAGTACGGATTGGCGGGTGCTAACGACTGCAGATGCAGGCGGGACCGACGGCTTATCGTGCCTTCTGAAGCACGGAGGAACTCGAGATAGTAAATTTTTGGTTACCCATCCAATGACCGACCACTGCGAAAGTTGCTTAACTTCAACGATCGCAGCGGAATGCGTTAACCACTTGCGCCATCGAGCTCCTCGAACGTCATTTTTTTGTATGCCATTTACTGTGGCTCCCTCCCTGAATTGTCACATTCATATGGATTCTTGTCGCACTGCATTAAGAACCTCGTGTCACAGTGGCGTCAACTGACACACTCATTGACAAATCTCTTTCAGTATTGAAACGGTTGAAAGAGAGCGAAGACTACGAAGACTCTTTAGACGAGGAGGACGGGCCCAAACGTCAGATTTGTCTCAACGCGGAGTGCCCGCAGTACCGGGACGGGCCGGACTGGGCCCCGTGCCCCCTGGCAGACCCCAAACAGTCCCCAACGCGGGCCATGCACTCGCATCCAGGAGATGACGACGAGATAAAGGTAAGCTGAAGAAGAAGAGAGAACAGGAAGAAGCAACATGCAGGGCCGGCAACGTGAGGCAGGTAAAACTGCTGTACCAGCTATCTCCACGTCTGGACTTCACCATCACTTAATATCGGTGTAATAGGTGGGGTGGAGTCATTTGTCGGACCTATCCCTAAAAAAAAGCTTTAATAGTTATTTTCAACAAATTGGCTCAAAAACGGCATTTACAATACAATACACAATTCTTTATTGAAAACACCACAGTGCAGTACATAAATGGGGTAAATACATTATGTTTAAACATAGTGATTCAATGGGCGGTATTATCGCTAAAAGCGATTTCTTTTCTATTTACGGAGGTTGTATACATTGTTCGGAGGTTCAAAATTACGGGCAATACAACGGAGCATGCGGTAAACATTTTACCGCACGACATTTTAAGAAGTTTAATGTAAAAATTGTTTAGTGGCGTTAATAAAACTTAGCTTTTTTAGCTGAAAACATAATTTTTGCTTTAGTGCCCTTTGTGCTTTTAGTTGATCACAGAAATTCTGCTTTATTCATTTTTCATCCATGGTTCACAAAACTGGTTAACTTTCATGGCATTGTAAAATTGGCTCATAGAGCATAGCTCCACGGGGTAGGGGTTTGAGTCAGGGTAGGTAACGGCTCGGGTGATATTTTTGATATCGCAAGCTACATGAGCTGGATGAGAGTGGCAGAAAATCGGGAGCAGTGGCGTGCATTAGGGGAGACCTATGTCCAGCAGTGGATGAGCATGGGTCGATGATGATGATGATGAAGCGTCTACAGGTGGCTATGGTGGGCTATGGTGCTGCTTACCATCAGGCGAGCCATATGCTAGTTAAGTGTTACCCTTTGAACAAAAAAAACTATTTTTCTATTACCCCGTCAAATGTGTAAGCAATATAGCGCTCAATACCCTGTCTTAACACAGACCGCCGTCCATTTTATTTTTCACGGTCGGATTTTTTGTAAAAGTAAAACTTATTTACGCACACTTGACTTGGAGGGTAATCTGGCGAATGCGTTACGAAAAGTGGGAAAAACAAACAAGACGATGGGTAGGCTTAAAACCAGCTTCGCTGTGCCTATTCCTATTTCCAATTCATATTTATTAGTTATATATAATGTAATAATAAAGTATGGAAATAAAGCACTTGTATTTGTATAACAAATACAGCTCAGCCGTGCGGACTCGCCGTTTCGCTCGCGCTACGTTGAAGCGTACAGTTTTGTCTCGCTCGCTCGATTGATTTCAGCTAGCTTGATTTTTATTTATAGACGTGTGTATTTGTGAGAGATGCTTATGTAGTTGAGTCGAAGACAGGGTGTCTTAACACAGACCGCCCTCCATTTTATTTTTCACGGTCGGATTTTTTGAAGTAAAACTTATTTACGCACACTTGACATGGAGGGAAAGGCTTACCCGGTAAGCTGGCGAATGCGTTACGAAAAGTGTGTTTGAGCGAGGCGAATGGGAGTTGAGTGGGGGATATAAGGAAGAGATAGCAGTGCGCGCGCACATGTATATGTACATGCATGTATATATTTTACACACACATAGTATAAGTTTAACTTCAGTCGTGTGGTCATAAGCACGCTCGTTTTTTTCCTGCCGAATTTCCTCTTATTATTCGAGTTCTACTGTACATCCAGCCTTCATTTAGGGGCCATCCATAAATTACGTCACACGTTAAGGGGAGGGAGGGGGTCGACGAAGTGTGACATTGTGTGACAAGGGGGTGGGAGGGGTCCTAAATTTCGTGACGTCACATTTCAAAATCTATTATAATCTAAGTGTTGAAACTATTCCTTTACGAAAACATTAACAACCCAAACGAGAACAAAGTGGTGCTATGCCAGTTATAAATAATTTAAAGGAGTTGGTTCAGTGTCCATGGACTTACGATTATTAAGTTTGTATCTTTAATTTAATTATAATGCTATTAATATTTTTTGTTTTGTTAATTTCTTTAATTAACATAGTCAATTGTTTTTTGTTTGGTGATTTCTTTAATTAATATAATTAATCGTGTTTCTTTTGTTAATTGTTTGATTTGATGTTAATATTATTAAAAAACAATTTAAATGGAAATAAAACTGATTTCAGAACCGTTGTTTTCATTCAATAATTTTTAAATGTAAATTTGCACAATATGTGACGTCACACTAGGGAGGGGGGGAGTCTCACAAATGTGACTAGCTGTGACAAGGACGGGGGGAGGAGCAAAAAATCATGAAATTCGTGTGACGTAATTTATGGATGACCCCTTATGTCTTAAATCAATTCTGAATAGTTTCTTCCTCTACAAACTTATCTATACATTAGATGTGTAAATTAAAAAAACCATTACTAAATATGATAAAACGCAAAATATAAATAAAGAAAATAATTTTTGGAACTCGTGGCAGAAATCTGCCATCTCCACAGACAGGGGTTTTTTGACGCTAGCAGAAATCTACCATTTACACAGGCCAGACCAGGGGGTATACATTCTTTCTCCGAAACAAACTTTCGATAATGAAGATTAAACGAAATTTAATTCCCTCGATTGAAAGTTATATTTAAAACTGAACGATAAACTATCAAATTGAAGTTTTCATTGAGTAGTCTTAGAAATTTGTTTCTTAGGTTTTCACGCACATCACTCATATCATTAAATAAAACTAGTATTTTACGGGTTAATGCACGAAACTTAATTAATTTATTGACGTTTGCAAGACCAACAGATACTATTAGTTTTTTTGTTTGCATAATTTAACATAAGAAGGAGATAGAAAGCCTCTCTTGAGTTTGTTTCGCCGGTTCTTCTCAGAAAGGTCTCACAATTTTGGAACCGGTGGTAGTTTACGGTAGTTAGGGTCAAATAAATAAATTCAAAATTACAAAAAAGATTTTTAAATAAAGTACTTTATTAGCTAAATTAAGTAATAAATTCATACATAGAAAATAAAACTTTAAAAATCGAACAATGAAATAACCGAACGCTCAATAAAAGTCTTTCGAAGGTAGCTCGACAAAATTAAATAAAAAATTGATTCTGACGACGCAGCCTGTAAAGGCTGCGAAACGTCAATAAATAAATAAAGTTTCGTGCATTAACCCGTAAAAAACTAGTTTTAATAAGTCTTAGAATATCTACACCTTAATATTACGACAACGAATATTATTTTAATTAAAAACTTACCAGAAACATAGTAAGAAAATTGTGAAGTTACGATCGAAATTTCGTTTTTCGTTGAATTAGAGTAGGCTCCAGAGATTAAAATGGCGAACCACTTTTTGTACACCAACAGCAGGAAGAGAGGCACACAGAATCATCTAGCGACCTCTCGGATTCCGACTTCGAGTACTTCACGGCATCGGTTCGTCGCAAGAAGCCCCCTGTTAGAAGCCCCTTGCGCGTGGAATTACGCTGCGACGACGATATAACGCAACTGTTGGACTGCGTGGACTCGCAACTTACGCAACTCGATACCAGGCTTGTGAGATTACTGGCATGGCAGCGGCTGCAACAGGTGAGAAATTATTTGAGTAATCACACTAATATTTGAAGGCGAAAGTTTGTGTGTGTGTGAGTGTGTATGTTTGTTACTTCTACACGTCTAAACGGCAGGAGCGATTTTAATAAAATTTGGTATGGAGTTAGTTGACACCCTGATTTAACACATAAGCTACGTTTGACTGCGGGAAAATATCCCTAATAAACCGCGGGTAACACCGCAGGGCACAGCTAGTTTATTAATTATTCTAAAGGGACAAGTCAATTATTCGCCGATTGAGTACATCACTCCTGCGCAATATTATAGAAATTGATTAATAAATAATAAGTTACGAGTTCGGAACCTAACCGTTATGAATCAATTGCTAAGTTTAGCAGGCCGAACATCCGTGCTTTCGTAAGTAACTTTAAAAGTAAGCCTTAACTGGACACTGCAAACTCAACATACACCAATTTCATATCAAATTGAGTGACACTGATGTTTGCAGATACTGCACCGTTAATCAGGATCCCTGCTTCAGCCTAATGCTGCCGCAAACTACCACTAAACGTGTCACAGCAGCATTGGTATTCTGGCAAGGCCTGTTATGCCAGTACTTCTTACGGCCAATCTCAATCCGCCACCCGCAAACTCGACAGCAGGCTCTCCCTCTTACTCCCCGTAGTAAAGTGCGATATGGATTCACTGTGTTAAATAAGAAATTTCCACTGCCGTTTGCTATTTATACCGTAAGTTGATCAACCACCTCGAAAATTGATCATACGATTCTTGTTATTTTCCGGTGACAGATACACCGCTTCCAATGAAACACATAGCAAACACGATTAGCCACGTGACTTCCATATGAGGAGCTGGCGAACGAAATGGTCTAATTACGCATCTGGTCAAATTACATTTTTTTTATAATCCGGAGGTTTCGGGTCCGTTAAATTTGAATCTCAAATAATTTACCATCAAAACCGTCTAAAACAGTGTTAAAATTACTAAGTTTATAAATTAAAAACCACACCAAAAGCTCACTGGAGGTATGTTATTCAGTTTTATACAGCTCCTGTAAAGTTAAATTTTATGTAATAGGGATGATGACTATTTTTTTTTCTTCGTTTATAGGTAGATTATCAAAAAGCATTGGACACGTATTTTTTATTTTTCCACATAATATAAACATTGCAGAGATATATTGATTTGAAAAGTCGCATGACGTCACGTTTGAGTACACTTATAAGTGAAAATTCACTCAAAAGTGACATCACGAGCCCCTACTCCCAAACTTTGACGCGCTATAACTTTGTAATTTTTTGGTTGATTGCCCAAAGAAAAAATAAGTGTCCATTATTTTTTGATCATCTAACTGACGGACTAAATAGAATTTCGTTTACTGTACCCCGTCATCACCCCTATTATACCGGTTTGTTCGCCAGCTCCTCATATCATTTGTAATTCGATGTGTATCATTGCCATATGCCGATGCGCAGGTGATGTGGGGCGAGCAGTGCTTCGGCTCTTGGTCCGAGTGCGGGGTCGGCACTCGCATATCGGCCTGCGTGCGTCGCTCAGTGGCCGGCGCCGGTTTAGCCAGGCGTGGGGCCAGATTGCCATCCGCTTTACTATCCGCCGCTGACAGGCGCAGGATCGCGGCCGCCGTGTGGGGAGCCCCGCCCCCTCCCCCTCCCCCTCCGCCTACGCATCCTGCGCACCCGGCCAGGCTGGCTGATCGACTAGTGAGGGCCACGCTCAGCGCTATACTGGAGGATAACAGGTGAGGGCCACGCTCAGCGCTATACTGGAGGATAACAGGTGAGGGCCACGCTCAGCGCTATACTGGAGGATAACAGGTGAGGGCCACGCTCAGCGCTATACTGGAGGATAACAGGTGAGGGCCACGCTCAGCGCTATACTGGAGGATAACAGGTGAGGGCCACGCTCAGCGCTATACTGGAGGATAACAGGTGAGGGCCACGCTCAGCGCTATACTGCAGGATAACAGGTGAGGGCCACGCTCAGCGCTATACTGGAGGATAACAGGTGAGGGCCACGCTCAGCGCTATACTGGAGGATAACAGGTGAGGGCCACGCTCAGCGCTATACTGGAGGATAACAGGTGAGGGCCACGCTCAGCGCTATACTGGAGGATAACAGGTGAGGGCCACGCTCAGCGCTATACTGGAGGATAACAGGTGAGGGCCACGCTCAGCGCTATACTGGAGGATAACAGGTGAGGGCCACGCTCAGCGCTATACTGGAGGATAACAGGTGAGGGCCACGCTCAGCGCTATACTGGAGGATAACAGGTGAGGGCCACGCTCAGCGCTATACTGGAGGATAACAGGTGAGGGCCACGCTCAGCGCTATACTGGAGGATAACAGGTGAGGGCCACGCTCAGCGCTATACTGGAGGATAACAGGTGAGATACTGACGGAGGGGACTCCGTTTGTTGATAGAGGAAGGATCACGGCTGCGGTGTGAGAAGCTGTAAGCGAGTTACAATTTATGACACATCAAAATACTAAGAGGAAATAACGTCGGACCAGTGAATGGTATCTTTAAAAATTTAACGTTATTTTTAATGTAAATTGGTAACGTAGTCCACCCTCCCTAGCATGAGCACCGCGATATGGTATATAACGCGTTTTTAACACGCTCAATTGTCAAATCATTATGAAGTTTGACAATTAAACGCGATAATAATGTACCCCACTTCCCCCCTCCCCCCTACGCATACTGCCAGGTTAGCTGACTGACTGGTGCGGGCCACGTTAAGCGCTATACTGGAGCATAACAAGTGAGATCATAGACTTAGTATTTAAAGACTGACAGAGTGAGACAAGCGACACTATACAAATACAAGTGCTTTATTTCCATATTGTATTATATAGGGTGGTCCAACTAGTGACGTCAAAAACGATTAACGGATTAACGAGTTAATGCCCAGCTATGGCTACAACTGGGAATGTAAACTCGTAGAATTTGAAAAAAAAAACTACGTATTTTATATTTGTTTCTTAGGTTTTCACGCACATCACTCATTAAATAAAACTAGTTTTTACGGGTCAATGCACGAAACTTTATTTATTTATTGACGTTTCGTAGCCTTTACTTATTTAATTTGTCGAGCTACCTTCAAAAGACTTTTATTGAGCGTTCGGTTATTTAAAATTGCTTTTGTAATTTTGAGTTTATTTATTTGACCCTAACTACCGTAAACTACCACCGGTTCCAAAATTGGGAGACCTTTCTGAGAAGAACCGGCGAAGCAAACTCAAGAGGCTTTCTTATCTCCTTCTTATGTTAAAATATGCAAACAAAAAGAACTAATAGTATCTGTTGGTCTTGCAGTGTGTGCTCGGGGTTGGGATTTTATCTCCTGTATAATGGGTTCCCAAGCTGGTGGTATATACCAACCATCTTCCTTATTGAAATTTGGATATTTTTTAATCTCAATAGCCTCGCGTATCATTCTAGGAACGAATCGTTGCTCAGTTGCAAGGATCTGTGGCTTATCAAATCTAATGTAATGGTTTGGTCCCCCTAATGCATGTTCACACACTGCGGACTTATTTTCGCGCCTATGTTTCATATCTGCGATATGTTCTTTTACCCGAGTCCCTATACTCCTCTTTGTTTGCCCGATGTAGGAGAGCCCACAGTCGCAGTTAAATGTTTCGGGTGATGGTGTGAGTCACCATTGAGGTACCTATCAGTATGAGTCACTTTACGATACGCAGTATGGCTTAAACTTTGGTCAGGATTCCTGATTAATAAAATATCTAGAAAAGCTAGTTTACTATCTCCTTCTAACTCCATAGTGAATAGGATGTTGGGGTGTATAGAGTTAAGGTGATTTAAAAAGGCAGAAATTTGATCTGTTGGGAGGATTGTGAAAGTATCATCTACGTACCGCTTATATAGCCTGGGTGTGACAGGTGCCACGCTGAGAGCCCTCTTCTCGAAGTCTTCCATGAAAATATTGGCGACAACAGGTGAGACAGGGGAACCCATTGCAACGCCCTCCATTTGTACATAGAAGTCATCCCCCCATAACAGGTAGCCAGATGTAAGGCAATGCTCTAGTAAATACTGCATATTCTATAGGCATATTATTTTCAAGTAGCTTCTTCTTAGTGATTTCAATGCAGTCCTGTACTGGTAGGCATGTAAGTAAGGATTGAACATCAAAACTGACCATGATTTCATTGTCCATGAGACGTTGATCTTCTAATCTCATTGACAAATTGGTATAAATCTTTCACAAAGGCTGTTGTGTTACCTCTCAGTGGTGAAAGTAACTTTGCTACGTGTTTAGCCAAACGGTATGTTGGTGAATCAATCTGGCTTACAATCGGACGTAGCGGAGCATTCGGTTTGTGTATTTTCGGTAACCCATACAGTTTTGGTGGTTTGGGACATGCAGGAATTAGGTAGTTGATGTCAAGATCCAACGTTTCGGAAAGTGATTTAATGAGATCACTTGTCTTTTTGAGAATCTTGGCGGTAGGATCACTCTTCACAAGTTTATATGTGTTCTCATCCGATAGAAGTTGTAATATCTTGTCGTTGTAATCTGACGTATCCATTACTACCGTGGCGTTTCCTTTATCTGCACGGAGGATAGTAAGTTCTGGCTTAGTTCGCAAGTTCTTTAGTGCAAGGTATTCATCACGAGGAAGGTTTGATTTCGGTGGTTTGCTTCGTTTTAACACTGATGAAATGTCTTGACTCAGCGCCTCCATGTCTTCTTTTCTCATGTTGTTTTTCACTAAGCAATCCTCTACGTTACAGATAATTTTTTCGTACGGTAGCCTGCGTGGTGCTACAGCAAAATTCAGTCCTTTCTCCAAAACTTTTAAAGTAGGTTCGTCCAAGTTTTGTTTACTTAAGTTGACAACTGCTCGGGTAGCGTTCGCCTTGTCTGTGGTTCTGACAGGTGCGTTTCGTTTTTCCTGAACGCGAGATAGTCTTTGATATTTATCTATTTGTCTATGTTTGCACTCGTTGAATATTGATGACTCACGATTGTTAAGTATCAGAATGCAATTATGATAATCCTCCGATGGCAATTGTTTCCTCAAATCACGTAGCCTGTAAAGGCTTCGAAACGTCAATAAATAAATAAAGTTTCGTGCATTAACCCGTAAAAACTAGTTTTATTTACGTATTTTATGATTACCATTGAAAGAGTTAATCATAAGGATTATTATTTCATTTTAAATGAAATAATAGTCAGGAAATTTGTCTTTATTTTAAATACACACCTGTGGGGCGTCCTCTATATTTATTAATTTGTACAGGAACGGCACCGGGGAGTCCGTGGGTCCGGCAGTCCCGATGCGTAGTTCCTCCCTCACGATCGGCACGTCCAGCTCCTGCCACGTGCGCATAGACCCCTGCTGCCGGCACGCGGCCCCGCACCACGCCACCATATTCATGGACGAGGTACGTACTGTACTCCCTCACGATCGGCACGTCCAGCTCCTGCCACGTGCGCATAGACCCCTGCTGCCGGCACGCGGCCCCGCACCACGCCACCATATTCATGGACGAGGTACGTACTGTACTCCCTCACGATCGGCACGTCCAGCTCCTGCCACGTGCGCATAGACCCCTGCTGCCGGCACAAGGCCCCGCACCACGCCACCATATTCATGGACGAGGTACGTACTGTACTCCCTCACGATCGGCACGTCCAGCTCCTGCCACGTGCGCATAGACCCCTGCTGCCGGCACAAGGCCCCGCACCACGCCACCATATTCATGGACGAGGTACGTACTGTACTCCCTCACGATCGGCACGTCCAGCTCCTGCCACGTGCGCATAGACCCCTGCTGCCGGCACGCGGCCCCGCACCACGCCACCATATTCATGGACGAGGTACGTACTGTACTCCCTCACGATCGGCACGTCCAGCTCCTGCCACGTGCGCATAGACCCCTGCTGCCGGCACAAGGCCCCGCACCACGCCACCATATTCATGGACGAGGTACGTACTGTACTCCCTCACGATCGGCACGTCCAGCTCCTGCCACGTGCGCATAGACCCCTGCTGCCGGCACGCGGCCCCGCACCACGCCACCATATTCATGGACGAGGTACGTACTGTACTCCCTCACGATCGGCACGTCCAGCTCCTGCCACGTGCGCATAGACCCCTGCTGCCGGCACAAGGCCCCGCACCACGCCACCATATTCATGGACGAGGTACGTACTGTACTCCCTCACGATCGGCACGTCCAGCTCCTGCCACGTGCGCATAGACCCCTGCTGCCGGCACAAGGCCCCGCACCACGCCACCATATTCATGGACGAGGTACGTACTGTACTCCCTCACGATCGGCACGTCCAGCTCCTGCCACGTGCGCATAGACCCCTGCTGCCGGCACGCGGCCCCGCACCACGCCACCATATTCATGGACGAGGTACGTACTGTACTCCCTCACGATCGGCACGTCCAGCTCCTGCCACGTGCGCATAGACCCCTGCTGCCGGCACAAGGCCCCGCACCACGCCACCATATTCATGGACGAGGTACGTACTGTACTCCCTCACGATCGGCACGTCCAGCTCCTGCCACGTGCGCATAGACCCCTGCTGCCGGCACAAGGCCCCGCACCACGCCACCATATTCATGGACGAGGTATGTACTGTACCCTTAGCACGAGTTTGAGCTCAAGAAAACTATTATAATTTTCGTAATTGTAAATTATGTTTCTATGTACATTTTGGTGAAAAGTAACCAAATATTCTTAAAATTTAAGAAGACGCAAACGATTTCATGATGGAATTTAAACACTGTTTATTTGTATTAAAACGAAAACAATAAAATCAGTACCCTTAGTACGAGTGCGAGCTCACGAAAACTATCATAGTTTCGTAATTGTAGAACTCGTACTAAGGGTGCTGTACTCCAGAAGTGAGCCCGAGGTTTGCACTCATCATATAATGTTAAAAAATCATCAAAATTCAAAATTAAACGTTGTTCACTACACTAACAGAAGTTGTAAAATCTTTGTAACTCAATTTTTACATTCCCAAACATACATAGAAACGGAAGATTTATTACACTTGCATAGATAATTAAGCCTAACCTTATCCCTCTCATGCTTTCACATTTGAAGTTCCAAATATACTTCCACACTCGTTATAGTAAAGTTACAACATTAAAGCAAGTTCTTACTTGTAGGCTCTGATTATAATCAAAGCTTTGTAGGTATTTATTCTTATTTTAAGCGTAATCGTGTCACTATTGTAATAAAATGTTTTCTTTTCTTGCTATACCTTCAATTTAAATGTAAGATCAAAGGCCCTATAAGTTGCTCACTCTGCATTCTCCAGGGGAGGGAGAGTCCTGGTGCTCTGAGATACAGGCGTTCTGCCTACTTCAGGCACCAGTCTCTCACAATCTATTTTATTGTTCTTATATAAAATTTTATAATATAATAAATTGTAGATTGTGGAAGAAGAAATAAAGATTATTATTATTATGTGAAATCTATTATTCTCTTTTAGGTACATACTTAATGGGCTCCATGTCTTTATTAATTACCTCGCGGTAATGTTGATATTTTAATTGTGAACGATAATTCTCCAAAATTTTAAGCAAATAATATAAAATTTAATAGGTAAATCACCCTTTTCATCACCCTACCCCTATAAGTATTTCGATAATGTAGCTTGAAACCAAGATGCTATTTTGTCACTCGAGTCCGCCCAGAACCCGGCTTCGCCCGGAGTCACTCTTGTACAATAAAACACAGACTTCTCCAATGACACTTAAATTTTTGAATATTTTATTGCGAATATTCATTCTAAATACGGATGCTAACAATGTGTACTTTATTTTCAACACTGTCAAATATCCCATTGATCGCCTTCTTATTATAGCATGCCAGCGCTGCTATGGTGGGAATATTCTCTTCCTACTATACCAGCATTAAGCTGAGGCAGGGTCCTGATTGGCCTTTAATCTAGAGAGATTCTAGTTTCTTATTCTGCCTCAGCTTATGGGGAGAGCCCTATTGTAGTTCTCTGTTTGTTTTATTTTTATTGCTATATTTATTGTTTTATTTACTTATGTGTGTCGAAAGCCAATAAAAGCTTTTTCTTTCTTTCTTATTAATCTTCTCAGGTGACGCGTCACTTTGAACTGATCAACTATTCCGAGTGGGGCACCGAAGTGAACGGTGTCCTGTACGCCTGTGATCTTTCGCCGCGACCGCAGGAGACTCCCGCTTCTGCCATCACGCTGCGGCTCAACGCAAGGGAACCGGAGCAAAGGAGGTAAGAATATTTTACTATTGGAGCGCGATTGTGAGTCTACTTGTTATTATACAGGCTGTAAAAAATCCAATGACAAAGATTCAAACTACGCATTCTGTACACCCAAACAAATTATATTACAAAATAGTATACGTGGATAAAAATTGTATTTTTAAGTTAAAAAAATACATTTTTTTTTCCAGTACGCAATGTATAGCGCGACGCGCTATTATGGCGCTACGCAAAGAATGTGCCTGTATGTATGTGCGTGCGTGTGTGTCAGTGCGTCGATCAAAAAGTTTCTAAATAACGTATTGAAAATATAAATGTAAAAATCTTGAAAGAATATTGTGGCTTTGACCTTCAATATCTCCATAACCAGAAATATCCCAGGTATGGTCCAGAAGAAAAACATTATCGTCATGATGTGGAAAATACGTGGCCTTCGACTTCGTTAAAGGTTTTTTTACACCCTGTATTTCATTGTCAGTTAGGGAGATTTAGTGTTTTCCTTTGTTGTGCAGGATAAATGGCGAGTTGACCCTGCCGTCGGGCGACGAGGGGCCGTGCCGGTGCCGGAGTGGTCGGGGCGTGGGGGGCGCGGGGGGCGCGGAGGGGGCGTGGGAGGGGTCCGCGCTGGTGCCGCACGGGGCCCTGCTGCGGTTCGGGTGCCGCGCGTATGTGTTCAGTATCGCGGAGTGTCTCGGGCTCATGGACCACCTGTAACGCGTCGGTGGGGCGGGGGGGGCGCGGGGGGCGCGGAGGGGGCGTGGGAGGGGTCCGCGCTGGTGCCGCACGGGGCCCTGCTGCGGTTCGGGTGCCGCGCGTATGTGTTCAGTATCGCGGAGTGTCTCGGGCTCATGGACCACCTGTAACGCGTCGGTGGGGCGGGGGGGGGCGCGGGGGGCGCGGAGGGGGCGTGGGAGGGGTCCGCGCTGGTGCCGCACGGGGCCCTGCTGCGGTTCGGGTGCCGCGCGTATGTGTTCAGTATCGCGGAGTGTCTCGGGCTCATGGACCACCTGTAACGCGTCGGTGGGGCGGGGGGGGCGCGGGGGGCGCGGAGGGGGCGTGGGAGGGGTCCGCGCTGGTGCCGCACGGGGCCCTGCTGCGGTTCGGGTGCCGCGCGTATGTGTTCAGTATCGCGGAGTGTCTCGGGCTCATGGACCACCTGTAACGCGTCGGTGGGGCGGGGGGGGCGCGGGGGGCGCGGAGGGGGCGTGGGAGGGGTCCGCGCTGGTGCCGCACGGGGCCCTGCTGCGGTTCGGGTGCCGCGCGTATGTGTTCAGTATCGCGGAGTGTCTCGGGCTCATGGACCACCTGTAACGCGTCGGGGCCGCGGGGGGCGTGGGGGGGGGGGGGGGGGCGTGGGAGGGGACCGCGCTGGTGCCGCCGCGACCAATCAAGATCTAAACAATTAATATTCACTTGTTGGCTAAAAAGAAGACAGAAACAACAATATATTGTTTTGAACTTTCATGGTCACTAACATTATAGTTCAATTGATATTATTTACGGGATTGATATCATGTACCTTCTTTTTATTGAGTTTCCGATATTTCCTGCGTGATCATGGCGCTTGTAACAAGTGCCGAAATATCGCTAAAAAACAAATTATAAAACATAAAGAAACAACATTAGGTTCCAACCAAAACTTAGTTTATTCCGCGTTTTGGAATAAGGCGGAATGTCTCTCCTTCTAATGTCTCACAGAGTATGCACATTGGACACCGCATACGAGGTCCCCGCATACGCCCCCAAACCTCGCGTCGCGATACAAGTTTGCACCGAATTTGTCGTGCGACCGTGACGTCACTGACGTGTCCAATCAAAACGAGGTTTACTCCAACCCGCAATTTTGTTTCAAACCAAAATTTAGCAATCCAGACTCCAATGAGAGTGCTTTGTACGCATGCTCATAGACTAAACATTACCCCCTTATTAATAAATGAGGTTTAAGTTTAGACTAGTTACGCCGTGTTTAGTACCTGCACTCAAATGCCATTTGTCATTCATGAACAGAGACAGACCATGTAGTAACTAATCCAAACTTATTCTTCGTTTATAAATAAGAGGGAGTGCGTACTATTTGTACGATAGGGTATTTGACAAGTTTTAGGCAACGATCTCACGTTATTGACTAATGTTTATGGAGTCCGTAAAAAGATATTCATCATTCTGTTGTGTATTTCAGTAAAAATAACCAAATCAAAAACTCCATTTTTAAGTTTCCGCGAAAACGTTTCTCTGTACAATATGGCGTCTCACTGGTGTGTGACGTCAGACGATTGTTATTTAAACGTTTAAAGATACAATGGTGTAGATTCTGGCATGATTCTCTAAAGCTTAACTTAAATTTGACAGCAGTGTATCCCTGTCGTTCTCTTTACAGAATGAAAAGGATAGACTGATCTTAAATTTAGAGAATCCTGCCAGAATTGACACCAAAGTAATGTCACTTTAACCGGAAGTTTACTTGCGTGTGACGTCATTTTAGGCTCCGCCAATCCCAAGCGTTTTGAGTCACGTGACAATAGATAAGAAAACTTATCTTTTTCGTGGGTTTTTAGTAAAATTCTAAAGACAGATGCTAACAATTGGCACTTTATTTTTAATATTGTCAAATAACCTATTGTACTTCTAATATGTAGGCGGTAGGTTATTATTATGTACGCCTATTGTTATACGGATATAATAAAATACTGTAAACCAATTCGGAAACTGAAGTCTCATTTTATTTCTACATTTATTCAGCATTTACTACATGCTATTATTATATCGTTAGCGAATAATATACAATTGTGTTCAATTTAAGAAGATAAATTACGTACACAATGTTGATTCTGGCACGATTCTTTAAACTAAAAACTACATTTAATATCAGTCTCTCCTTTTCATTCTGTATAGAGGATGACAAGGATACACTGTTGTCAAATTATAGTTTAGCTTTAGATAATCATGCCAGAATCGTAACCATTATATTGCCTTACAGATAAAGTTTATTTCATAAGAAATGCTACGTGAAGTGTCATGTTTATATTTAGCTTTATTTCTAGTATAATGATAATAATATTTTGTTTTAAAAATATATATTCATTTCAAATGTACGTTTTTTTTATTAGTAGTACTAAAACCTTTTTTTTTTCGGCTTAATTTATCTTTTTTGGGATAAAAATAATTGAAATATCATACTGGATTCGATTTCTTTTAAACCATCGAAGTCAGTGCATTCGCCCGGATTGCGAAGGGTGCGGGTTCGAGTCCCGTCTGCTGCCTGGTCCGCGTGGAATTTTTTCTAGTTATATTTTCTTTAGATTTAAACATCAAGCAGTTACATGCTTTAAAAATAATAAAAAAATTATAACTATAATTGCTATTTCTTCTTTCAAATGTTTAATACTTGTAAAAGTATTCATTTGACATTGTGGGTTTACCTATAATGCGAAGAGATGGCGCTGCCTTGCAGCTTAAGAATAGCTAGAAAGAATTTCGACGCCGTCCGTGAGGGCCGCGGTAGCATAATTGGTCAGTGCATTCGCCCGGATTGCGAAGGGTGCGGGTTCGAGTCCCGTCTGCTGCCTGGTCCGCGTGGAATTTTTTCTAGTTATATTTTCTTTAGATTTAAACATCAAGCAGTTACATGCTTTAAAAATAATAAAAAAATTATAACTATAATTGCTATTTCTTCTTTCAAATGTTTAATACTTGTAAAAGTATTCATTTGACATTGTGGGTTTACCTATAATGCGAAGAGATGGCGCTGCCTTGCAGCTTAAGAATAGCTAGAAAGAATTTCGACGCGGTCCGTGAGGGCCGCGGTAGCATAATTGGTCAGTGCATTCGCCCGGATTGCGAAGGGTGCGGGTTCGAGTCCCGTCTGCTGCCTGGTCCGCGTGGAATTTTTTCTAGTTATATTTTCTTTAGATTTAAACATCAAGCAGTTACATGCTTTAAAAATAATAAAAAAATTATAACTATAATTGCTATTTCTTCTTTCAAATGTTTAATACTTGTAAAAGTATTCATTTGACATTGTGGGTTTACCTATAATGCGAAGAGATGGCGCTGCCTTGCAGCTTAAGAATAGCTAGAAAGAATTTCGACGCGGTCCGTGAGGGCCGCGGTAGCATAATTGGTCAGTGCATTCGCCCGGATTGCGAAGGGTGCGGGTTCGAGTCCCGTCTGCTGCCTGGTCCGCGTGGAATTTTTTCTAGTTATATTTTCTTTAGATTTAAACATCAAGCAGTTACATGCTTTAAAAATAATAAAAAAATTATAACTATAATTGCTATTTCTTCTTTCAAATGTTTAATACTTGTAAAAGTATTCATTTGACATTGTGGGTTTACCTATAATGCGAAGAGATGGCGCTGCCTTGCAGCTTAAGAATAGCTAGAAAGAATTTCGACGCGGTCCGTGAGGGCCGCGGTAGCATAATTGGTCAGTGCATTCGCCCGGATTGCGAAGGGTGCGGGTTCGAGTCCCGTCTGCTGCCTGGTCCGCGTGGAATTTTTTTTCTAGTTATATTTTCTTTAGATTTAAACATCAAGCAGTTACATGCTTTAAAAATAATAAAAAAATTATAACTATAATTGCTATTTCTTCTTTCAAATGTTTAATACTTGTAAAAGTATTCATTTGACATTGTGGGTTTACCTATAATGCGAAGAGATGGCGCTGCCTTGCAGCTTAAGAATAGCTAGAAAGAATTTCGACGCGGTCCGTGAGGGCCGCGGTAGCATAATTGGTCAGTGCATTCGCCCGGATTGCGAAGGGTGCGGGTTCGAGTCCCGTCTGCTGCCTGGTCCGCGTGGAATTTTTTCTAGTTATATTTTCTTTAGATTTAAACATCAAGCAGTTACATGCTTTAAAAATAATAAAAAAATTATAACTATAATTGCTATTTCTTCTTTCAAATGTTTAATACTTGTAAAAGTATTCATTTGACATTGTGGGTTTACCTATAATGCGAAGAGATGGCGCTGCCTTGCAGCTTAAGAATAGCTAGAAAGAATTTCGACGCGGTCCGTGAGGGCCGCGGTAGCATAATTGGTCAGTGCATTCGCCCGGATTGCGAAGGGTGCGGGTTCGAGTCCCGTCTGCTGCCTGGTCCGCGTGGAATTTTTTCTAGTTATATTTTCTTTAGATTTAAACATCAAGCAGTTACATGCTTTAAAAATAATAAAAAAAAATTATAACTATAATTGCTATTTCTTCTTTCAAATGTTTAATACTTGTAAAAGTATTCATTTGACATTGTGGGTTTACCTATAATGCGAAGAGATGGCGCTGCCTTGCAGCTTAAGAATAGCTAGAAAGAATTTCGACGCGGTCCGTGAGGGCCGCGGTAGCATAATTGGTCAGTGCATTCGCCCGGATTGCGAAGGGTGCGGGTTCGAGTCCCGTCTGCTGCCTGGTCCGCGTGGAATTTTTTCTAGTTATATTTTCTTTAGATTTAAACATCAAGCAGTTACATGCTTTAAAAATAATAAAAAAATTATAACTATAATTGCTATTTCTTCTTTCAAATGTTTAATACTTGTAAAAGTATTCATTTGACATTGTGGGTTTACCTATAATGCGAAGAGATGGCGCTGCCTTGCAGCTTAAGAATAGCTAGAAAGAATTTCGACGCGGTCCGTGAGGGCCGCGGTAGCATAATTGGTCAGTGCATTCGCCCGGATTGCGAAGGGTGCGGGTTCGAGTCCCGTCTGCTGCCTGGTCCGCGTGGAATTTTTTCTAGTTATATTTTCTTTAGATTTAAACATCAAGCAGTTACATGCTTTAAAAATAATAAAAAAAAATTATGACTATAATTGCTATTTCTTCTTTCAAATGTTTAATACTTGTAAAAGTATTCATTTGACATTGTGGGTTTACCTATAATGCGAAGAGATGGCGCTGCCTTGCAGCTTAAGAATAGCTAGAAAGAATTTCGACGCGGTCCGTGAGGGCCGCGGTAGCATAATTGGTCAGTGCATTCGCCCGGATTGCGAAGGGTGCGGGTTCGAGTCCCGTCTGCTGCCTGGTCCGCGTGGAATTTTTTCTAGTTATATTTTCTTTAGATTTAAACATCAAGCAGTTACATGCTTTAAAAATAATAAAAAAATTATAACTATAATTGCTATTTCTTCTTTCAAATGTTTAATACTTGTAAAAGTATTCATTTGACATTGTGGGTTTACCTATAATGCGAAGAGATGGCGCTGCCTTGCAGCTTAAGAATAGCTAGAAAGAATTTCGACGCGGTCCGTGAGGGCCGCGGTAGCATAATTGGTCAGTGCATTCGCCCGGATTGCGAAGGGTGCGGGTTCGAGTCCCGTCTGCTGCCTGGTCCGCGTGGATTTTTTTCTAGTTATCTTTTCTTTAGATTTAAACATCAAGCAGTTACATGCTTTAAAAATAATAAAAAAATTATAACTATAATTGCTATTTCTTCTTTCAAATGTTTAATACTTGTAAAAGTATTCATTTGACATTGTGGGTTTACCTATAATGCGAAGAGATGGCGCTGCCTTGCAGCTTAAGAATAGCTAGAAAGAATTTCGACGCGGTCCGTGAGGGCCGCGGTAGCATAATTGGTCAGTGCATTCGCCCGGATTGCGAAGGGTGCGGGTTCGAGTCCCGTCTGCTGCCTGGTCCGCGTGGAATTTTTTCTAGTTATATTTTCTTTAGATTTAAACATCAAGCAGTTACATGCTTTAAAAATAATAAAAAAATTATAACTATAATTGCTATTTCTTCTTTCAAATGTTTAATACTTGTAAAAGTATTCATTTGACATTGTGGGTTTACCTATAATGCGAAGAGATGGCGCTGCCTTGCAGCTTAAGAATAGCTAGAAAGAATTTCGACGCGGTCCGTGAGGGCCGCGGTAGCATAATTGGTCAGTGCATTCGCCCGGATTGCGAAGGGTGCGGGTTCGAGTCCCGTCTGCTGCCTGGTCCGCGTGGAATTTTTTCTAGTTATATTTTCTTTAGATTTAAACATCAAGCAGTTACATGCTTTAAAAATAATAAAAAAATTATAACTATAATTGCTATTTCTTCTTTCAAATGTTTAATACTTGTAAAAGTATTCATTTGACATTGTGGGTTTACCTATAATGCGAAGAGATGGCGCTGCCTTGCAGCTTAAGAATAGCTAGAAAGAATTTCGACGCGGTCCGTGAGGGCCGCGGTAGCATAATTGGTCAGTGCATTCGCCCGGATTGCGAAGGGTGCGGGTTCGAGTCCCGTCTGCTGCCTGGTCCGCGTGGAATTTTTTCTAGTTATCTTTTCTTTAGATTTAAACATCAAGCAGTTACATGCTTTAAAAATAATAAAAAAATTATAACTATAATTGCTATTTCTTCTTTCAAATGTTTAATACTTGTAAAAGTATTCATTTGACATTGTGGGTTTACCTATAATGCGAAGAGATGGCGCTGCCTTGCAGCTTAAGAATAGCTAGAAAGAATTTCGACGCGGTCCGTGAGGGCCGCGGTAGCATAATTGGTCAGTGCATTCGCCCGGATTGCGAAGGGTGCGGGTTCGAGTCCCGTCTGCTGCCTGGTCCGCGTGGAATTTTTTCTAGTTATATTTTCTTTAGATTTAAACATCAAGCAGTTACATGCTTTAAAAATAATAAAAAAATTATAACTATAATTGCTATTTCTTCTTTCAAATGTTTTAATACTTGTAAAAGTATTCATTTGACATTGTGGGTTTACCTATAATGCGAAGAGATGGCACTGCCTTGCAGCTTAAGAATAGCTAGAAAGAATTTCGACGCGGTCCGTGAGGGCCGCGGTAGCATAATTGGTCAGTGCATTCGCCCGGATTGCGAAGGGTGCGGGTTCGAGTCCCGTCTGCTGCCTGGTCCGCGTGGAATTTTTTCTAGTTATATTTTCTTTAGATTTAAACATCAAGCAGTTACATGCTTTAAAAATAATAAAAAAATTATAACTATAATTGCTATTTCTTCTTTCAAATGTTTAATACTTGTAAAAGTATTCATTTGACATTGTGGGTTTACCTATAATGCGAAGAGATGGCGCTGCCTTGCAGCTTAAGAATAGCTAGAAAGAATTTCGACGCGGTCCGTGAGGGCCGCGGTAGCATAATTG